GTTCGACGCACTAGTGAAAGAGATTCATGACAAAATTAACCTACTTTTCTCCAACAGATAAGAAGAAAGGGTTAGAAAATTTTGGGACATGAGGCATAAAAAATTGATATCTTAAGGGAAATAAATTACAGTTTGGTTGTCATGGCCATGGAAGATTTGCAAGCGGGTGTGAATGTTAGTGAAATCTTCGTCATAGCTATCTTTAGCATGTTAAGCTAAAAAGATTAGAATGTAATTTAAGCTTGCAAGAATAATGCAAAAAAATAAGATAATTTTTTTTTTATAAACTTAACCTTCATCAAATTTAATTGAATTAGTTTACTCTGATTCTCTTTGTATTATTTTTTTTTTAAGGTCTTCTTCGTTTCCGTTCTTGGAATGAATCAAAAAAGAAAATAAATAAATCAAAGTAAGAAGAATTCTAAAAAATAAATGAGAATATTGATGACAAACTAAAACATTACACAATATTATATTTTGTGAGAGTGTTACATATTTTTTTTCCTAAACTATATATATCTTTCATATATTTATTTAAACTCGAACTTAGTGACAACATACTCTTTAAATTGTAAAGCTTAAAACCTTATATTGAGTTGAAACAGCCTATGATACACATGTTTGGTGATTGAGAATGTTATTTTATGATAAGTAGAGAATTTTAATTTTTTTTATATTATTTTTTGCTGTAATAGAAACAGAGATCATGAAATGAGATACTGTCGATCACCGGAAGAAGACGGTATAAATGTTGAAAATATTTAAAAATGAAAAACATAGCCAAGTTATCTAGAAAATCGAAATAATCAAAGAAAAAAATTATATTTTATTTATCTTTTTTTATCATATTATTATTATTATTTCACACGGCTTCAAAATAAAGCGTAAAAAACAACCATTTTTCCAAAAAAAAAAAAATGCAAAACGGTCCCACCAGAAAATATCATTATTGCGCAATTATCCCCTCTTATATGGCCACGCAATTAATAATCTACTAATTATTGATATTTATAATACAAAATAAAAAATTAGCTTATGTAATTAAGTATAGTGTAGATCAATCAAAATCATAGAGTAATTAAACAATCATAACTCGTTTAATTAATTAATTAACTATCATTTTTAATTTAAAAAATCCTTCAAAATTATCATAACTTTGACATATTCTATTCTAAGTATTAAAAGGCTTATTATACCTCTAATATGATAAATGCATAATACATCTAACATAAATATACATAAAAGGTTTGAGTGTAATGCAATAAACTATAGAAAACTTTCATATTAGAGCCAGGCTAGGTATCAATTAAAAAGTACTCATGCCTTCACGTTCAAGGATCAAGATGAATGCTTACTGTTAAATCTGTGCTAGGCATTAGAAACTCCTACCTTCAAGGATCAAGATGGATGTTAACTATTAAATCTCTGTGCATTTTAAAGTCATTTGATTATAAATTAAAACAAATAAATTCATTTCTATTTAATAAATTTAAATGAGTTTTTGTGTTCATTTTGTGACCTATATCTTTTAAACTTTCATATTAACTTAAATTAATATTTTATAATTTTTAATCAATTATTCAATGAAAGAAAACATTTCTTAATTTCTTCACTTAATCTTCCAATCTCCTATTAATACTAAGAATAAAATGCAATGCCTGCAAATTACCATCAAACTAACTTTACAGTAAATAAAAAAAACTAAAATAGTTAAAATAAAAAAATTAAATTACTTTTATATTCAAATTTATATTTTTATCATTAATGAGGTGTTCTTTTGTTAATTAATTTACTCTTTGTCTCTAAACTCTAACTGTTCACATTTTTCTATATTTTACTTGTATGAAATAGTAGCCAATAGTTAATGTGATATGAAATGATCAAGTCTTTCAATTTATTTTTGTAACAAAACACGTAATTTTTCAAATTTATCATAAATGAATTTTAATTGTCATATAAACAATTAAAACCGTATCATTCATGTAATTAATAAAATTTAATAATCATTTGTGTATTTTGTATAAATTCAAAAGTTATAATTTAAATAATAAAAATAACTTTATAAACTCTATTTATTTTTTATAATTAATTCATAAAAATATTTTCGTATTTTCTTTCATTTATAAATGGTATTTATTTTAAAAGTTTAAAATTATAATTCAAAATAAAAGTGTGAACAGGGAGAAAAATATAAAAAAAAATGAAAAAACATAGTAAATGGTAACGAGGAAAAAAGTTAATGATCAAATGAATTATTGCTAAGATACATAAACGATGAGAATTAGCATTCAAAGATGACATGTGATTTCAAAATTCTAAATGAAAAACACTTAAAATGATAAAATATTATAAATAGATAATAAACAGACAAAAGCCCAAACGATGCATAAAGAAAGAAGTTAGAAAATTGCAACTAACATTGAAAATATTAATTAACTTAAAAAAATGAAGTGAATGAAAGGAATTTGGAACAATCTTAATACTAACAAGAATGTTAATTGGAGTCTTACAAAAAAGAGTTAAGGAACAGCTTAATGCAAGAGCAGAAGGCTAATTATGGATTTGTTTTATCTTTTGACTTTTTGTATCGAATATGGCTAAGGCACATATGATCACAAAACCACGCGGCAAAGAAACATATACGTCACTGTCTCTAACAGGTAACAGCTAGCATAGCATCTAACTATCTTATACAAGTATTCAAAAAGATAATCAATCACAAGCAAAACACCCAAATCACATAATCACAGCTACTACAAATATGTGATTAAGAGGACACCAATAAGCAACAAAGCACCATTATTTTAAGCTTTCTTTCATGACAAAACAAAACCAAGACACTACACGTAGCAGCTTGTAAACTCATTAACCTAGGAAACAAGTTCACAAGTAGGATCTGGGTTGTTGTACCTGCGAATAGTTTAATACTGTGGAACATTTTACATTTTAAATTGAAAATAATGATGTGTTAGGACAGGTAAGGCCACCACGTTTTGCAAATAATTAATTTTTTTATTTGGATTTTCTTGCACTGTGCAAGAATCACATTACGGCAAGTGAGGTTGTTTTTTGGTTTTTCTGCAACTCACGTTCTTTTATCAATATTTTGTGTACGAAATTGCCCTTCTGTTACCTATTTTTTATGATTTGCTAATTTATTTATTTACTGAAATGTATGAAGTTTGCATTTTTTTATCTTTGTCGTAAAGTCTTGAGCGAATTAAATTGGACGAAGATAACAATGACAACGACAATGCTTAAAAGAATTTTGGATTGATAATGGGTAATGTGAATTTCTTGGATCTATTTGTTTCGTGGGTGTAAAAAGTGAATACATTTTTTTTATTTTTTATAAGTTATTTCATTTAATTTTCTCAAATTTAAAAAGATAAATATTAATGTTTCAATTGATTGTCTGTCATAAGTATTTTTGAAGGTATGAACACTTTGTATTTCTAAGCCATAAAATTTATTTAATTCTTAAACTTTACAATGCTACTAAGCATTTTTTAACCGCTTTAGTATGAATTCAATGTCGTGTCACTAGACATTGCGATTATGTTTTTGTTTTTCTCACACCAAATTCTTTGTATGATTTTGAATGAAAAAGAGGAATTATGTATACTTGTTACTTCAATTAAAACCATTTAAAGATGAAAAAACAGGAGAGAGAGAGAGAGAGAGAGAGAGAGAGAGTTTGACAGTTAGTCATTTTAATGTTAAAGTTAATCCAATGTAGTGTAGATTAGACTTGGGTCACTTTCCTTGGTTATCTATATGTTTAGGTGTAAGTACACATGCAACCAAATCGTTGGGAGGAACAGAAAATATTAGGAAAAAAAGAAAAAGGTGATAAAGCAAGTTAAGCAACCGTTAGACATTATATTAATAATATAAAAAAATATCTATTATTTTTTTATATTTTACTTAAATAAATCTAAATTTTTTTATATTACGCCATTCAAATTATACTTAATTTACATGATATCTACATTTAGAACTCATTATCAATATTAGACCTCATTGTCACTATTGTCATATATGCATTTTATGTTTTTATATCAATGTTTGCTTAATGTTTTTTACGTTGTTCTTTATTTGTTTTATTTGTTCTATTTTTTTTTACCATTTAACAAATTTATTCTTTTTATTAGCAAACAATTTAAAAAGTCAACAGATAAAGGTGAACTTATTATTGAATGGTATAAAATAAGAGGAAAAAGTTTTTTTTTTTTTAAAATCAAGCATGTTAATGATTGAAAATAAAATATTTTTCTTTATTAATGAAACTAATAATTTAGAAAGCCATATACAAATAAAAATAAATATATTAATGAGAGTAAACACTCTCCAAACACGAGGGAATAATTCGTATATTTAGAAAGCCAAACGTAAAAACCACTAAAGCATATATACAAATTGTTTTCCTTAAAACGCCTAAATATCGCTCAGCTTTTATTCTATTATAATATTTTTATTATTTTGTATAATTGATTCTAATACTTAAAGGTTAAAAATCGTAATACTTTTACTAAAAAGAGAATTTTTAAATTTCAAAATGTATCTTCATAATTTAAATATAGTTAATTTTTTTTTCAACCATGACTATGTTGTCCACGTAAAATATGTATTTAAAAATAGTTTTTATAAGTCACTCGTAATCACATATATAACTAAATTAAATAAATAAGAATTTAAATAGAAGTATGATGTAAATTTAGTCTTATAAAAAAAAATTAAATGCATTTTTAGAAGTACTTTCGTATTTATAATTACCTTATCATACACAAGAAGTTGGAATATATGTTGACAACATTTGTTCGTTATAAAGCCTTTGATAACACTTTTAGTGAATAAAAATTATATAATAATTTGAAGAGTAATTTTTTCATAAAAATTAACGAGGTAAAAGGAAAGGGCATTTTGGTCATATGCTAAAAATACAGACAAAAGCTATGGGGAAGGGCCTACAAATACAAACATGGAGTGTCTCTTTCGGAACTGTAAAGATGAGAAATGCCGAAGATCTCATCCCAAAATAAGGAACCAAACTTCTCCCCCACACAAACACTCTTTCTCTTTCTCCTTCACCTTCTCCCACCCACTCTCTTCCTCTGCGTTTCTCTGCTCAACCAGAAGCTCTGGGGAAACCGCAGAAAAAAACATAAACCATACACCCTTCGTTCCTAAACCAACATTATGCCATGCTTCACCCCACACCCCTCTCTTTTACTCTCCCTCCTTCTCTTCTCTCTGTCTTTTTTCTCTCTCTCTACACCTGCACAACCCTCTCCTTTCCATTCCTTACGCATTCCAGGTTGCTTTTTTCTCTTGCTTTTGTTTCTTCTTTTCCTTCACCAAAGTTTTGATTTTTCTGAAATGGGTGTGTTCTATTTTTGTTTTTATCTTCTGGGTTTTGTTTTTTAGATGATTTTGAGGTTGTTGGTGAGAGAGGTTATGACAAGGTGCTACCTTGGAAGACGAGGAGATCCATGGCTGAGGATGCCACGCCCAACACGTCTCTGATATTGGCTCAGAAGAGAACCACTAGGAAGGACCCTCTTGACAATTTTAACCGTTACACTGGGGGTTGGAATATCAGCAATCGCCATTACATTGCTGTCAGTTCCCATCTAACTTCTATAAACCCTGATAACTTTTTCTTTTTTCAAAAGTTATGTTTTTAACGTGTAATTAGTCTTTTGGTTGTAAACTTTTTTATTGGGTAGTTCCCTTTTTCTTTAGTTTTCATTTATGTTGTTGATGTTGTGATGCTGTTTGGACTGGTTGGGAATATTAATGTTTGGCTGACTTGGTGGTGTTGTCTTTTGGTGCAGTCGGTTGTTTTTACTGCGGTTCCCTTCTTTGTTGTTGCTGCAGTGTGGTTCGTGCTTTTTGGGCTTAGTTTATCCTTAATCTGCTTGTGTTACTGTTGTTGCCCTAGAGAGCCATATGGTTATTCTCGTTTGGCCTATGCTTTGTCCTTGATCCTCCTCGTTCTCTTCACCCTTGCAGCAATGTATCTCTATCTATCTCTTTCTCTCAGAAACTAATAATCCATTGTGCCATGCTTGTTTCATGAAGTTCTCTAACTATGTGTGCTTGATTGTGCTAGAGTTGGATGTATTCTCCTTTACACTGCTCAGGGGAAGTTTCATGGGAGCACCACAAACACACTGGAATATGTGGTGAGTCAGGCTGACTTCACTGCTGAAAACCTCAGGAACGTGTCAGATTATCTTGATGCAGCTAAGAAGATTGGAGTCGATGCCGTTTTTCTGCCGTCTGATGTTCAGTCGAACATTGACGAGGTTCAGACTAAGATAAATTCTTCTGCTGTGGAACTTTCCAGCAAGACGAAAGATAATTCAGAGAAAATAAAAGAAGGCCTAGATGGAATGTGAGTACAATTTAAAATATTGGTTTGAGTAGAGCTTTTGAATTGTCTTTTTCGCTAACAATTATCTGTTGTGCACTGTAGGAGATTGGCTCTGGTTATTCTTGCTGCTGTTATGCTCTTTCTTGCATTTCTTGGATTCTGTATGTTCGTTTTCTTTTTCTTTTAATAATACCTGTTTTGATTTTCTTGCTCTATGGTAAAGTTGACTGTAATTGTTAATTGTCTGATTTGCCTGTGCTTTGTGGCTAAAACATTCTGCAGTATTTTCGATATTTGGGCTGCAAGGTCTTGTATACTTGTAAGTTAAATTAATTAAGCCATATTTTATATCTTTATTACTTCTGAACTTCTTAACTCTTTAAGATTTGTCCTGGTAAATGTTAATTCATTAAATCATGTGTTTTCAATTGCTGCAGCTTGGTACTCGTTGGGTGGTTTCTTGTTGCTGGCACATTTATACTTTGTGGTGTATTTCTTTTTCTGCACAAGTAAGTACATGTCTTCTCGTAGAATTAATATTAGAATTTTTATTTTTCTCCTTAATGCCATTGTTGTTGCTTTGTTATCTCGTCTATTATGAGTTACTTTGTTTTTCACCTTTTCATAGACAAATCTTAGGCCTCTTGTTTTGATGTTTAGCAGTCTGGGGGTTTGGTTCTGACTGCTGATTGGGAGCCTTGATGGTGCCTTTGTGAAGAATGATTAAACAAAAATGTGCAACTATGAGTTGTAACTTACTTTTAAGCCTTTTGTACTATGAAATCATCACTGGTCTTTCCTCTTTGTTTTGTTTGTTAAGTAGGGAACGCATTCATTGTGAAATATATGGAAATTGAAAAGCTTTGCAATGCTAAGAACCATCAGTGCGCATCCAAAGAAAAGGGAACCATTGATGAACACTATTGTTGTAACACGACCTTTTGGTTTAGATTATTTTGTCTTCTCATCTGATTTATGCTTAACAGAATGCTTAGTTGGATTGCTTTATGTACTTTGAAAAGCAGATTTTATTTTTGAGGAATATAAGAAGTTGAAGCTGTAAGAAAGAATTAATTGAAACTCTAGATCCTGAAGTTAATTATTCATTTCTTTTAAATCAATATAGAAATTAAATAGAATGAAATTAATCGTTTATCATGACTGCATGCTTTGGTTGTGATATCTGGAATTGTATGGTTCTTGTTAAAATTTTCAAAATATCTGAAACAAAAGGTGGGATATTATTGAGTACATTGTCATATATGTTTTTTAATCTGTCTACTGGCCTTGTCATCGTTATATGGGACATGTGGATATTGTTGTGTTTTGGCCCCATTAAAATTACTCTTCGAATGCTTTGCTATTGTTTTGTTTAGTACTCTGAAGATTTTCAATTTGTTAAATACTCGAGTACTCATTTTAATCACCCATCTCAACATCATTTGAAGTCCATTGCTTCTATAATCACTTATGTGCATGTATATATAACAAAAATTTATTGCATATTTGTACCAGCGTTGTTGCAGATACATGTGTTGCCATGGATCAGTGGGTGCAGAACCCTACTGCGCATACTGCCTTGGATGAAATTCTTCCATGTGTGGATAATGCAACTGCTCAGGAAACCTTGTTACGAACCAAGGATGTGACATACCAACTTGTCAATTTGGTTGACAAGATCATTTCCAATGTCACAAATAGAAATTTCCCAGCTGCCGCAGGACCACTGTATTACAATCAATCAGGCCCTTTAATGCCTCTTCTGTGTAATCCATTTCACCCTGGTTTCACAAGTCGGTCTTGTGCTCCTGGGGAAGTTCCATTGGATAATGCTACAGAGGTAAGGAACTATTTAAGATTTTGAAAAGTAAATCTATACCCAGGAAAGAAAAGCCTAGCCTGACATCTTCTTGCCAGGTCCCTCCTTTTCTTTTTCACTTTTTTTTTTCTAGCTAAAATTATACTGTTTCATTTCTATCCAAACCAAGGTTGTGAAAAGTCAAGATTCTATCTTAGGACCTAAAGAGAAAAAAGGGTTGGGGTAGAGAGAGGGAAGGGATTCAGCTCCTTGAGGAGTAACTTCAAAGGGAAAAGTACGGAACTCCTTAATCTTGATGAGAAGGTTAATGGTTGATGTTACATCCATATGCATAACAAATCATGGATTTGTTATAACCTCACTTAGTTTTCTCATTAACAGTTGAGATGTTTCACTTTTCTTGTGTAGGTGAACTACTAGCTTAAGAGCCAAAATGTTACATTTATATATATAGGACGGGAATCAAGTTACTTCAGAAGTAACTCTAATAAGAATTACTTCACTTAATAACTCTGTAGAAACATTCAATATCATCAATCCAAATGTTAAATAAGGTGGTATACTTATGTTGATTATGCATATAAAGTTGTAGATAAATCAGACATTCATAAATATGTAATTTCCAGCATTGAACGATCACTCATCAGGCTCAAAAGCTTTAAAATTTTGAATCGGTTTGCTGTTCCATGTTTTTTGCCCATAATTTGGCATCACATTTGGCAGGTATGGAAGAAGTATACATGTGAAGTTTCTTCATCAGGCATTTGTAAGACGCCGGGTCGAATGACACCAACCATTTATGGCCAAATGGAAGCTGCAGTGAACATAAGTTATGGCTTGTATCATTATGGGCCATTCTTGGTTGATTTACAAGACTGCACTTTTGTGAGGAAAACATTCACAGACATCAGCAACAATTATTGTCCTGGTCTGCAGAGGAATAGTCAGTTGATTTATGTTGGATTAGTTTTGGTATCTGCTGGTGTTATGCTGTCTTTGATCTTTTGGGTCATCTATGCAAGAGAGCGGCGGCACCGTGTTTATACTAAACAGTTCATTGCCGGTTAAGTGTGTTGTTATGACTTAAAACTACATTAGGTACGATATGGTTCTCATGTACATTTGAGTTAGATTTTATTCCATATTGGGTGGGTCTCTTATTCTATGTGATGTAAAGTTATTTATCATATTAATTACCTATACTTGAGGTAGATGTATTAAAGTAATTTGTGTTCGTGGAAGATAGTATTGTTGGTGTGTTTTTATATCATTTTTTATCTGCTCTACGACACTGACATTGTTTGATTCGAGTTCGTTCTGATGAGTTTTGTTGAATGTAGCCAAAACATTATTTATGGAGAATTTGAGTATGAAAATCATCAAAATAAGTTAAAATTTATTAAATAAATATTCATGTCTAAATAAGTTCTATAAAATCCTTCCTTTATCGATCGTCAGATTGATGATTTATCTCTCGCATTGACTTGAAGTTGAAAGTGTGGAAATTCCAATTCTGGTTTTTAAATGCCCATAACTATTTATATCTATTTAACATTTTAATTTATTTATTTATTTATTTTTATCATATCAAATCATATTACATATCGCATTTATTATTTTTTACTTCTATCTTTTTCTCTGTTTAGGTGGGTCTACAAAACATATAGATCTACAATTTTCTTTTATAAAATAAATATAGGAAGAGTACTGATAAGATGAGTAATGAGGGAAAGAGATATTTATTGTTATAAAATTTATTGTGAGAATAGAATTAGAGTTTTGTTAATCAGTCTTTAGAGTTGAGTTTAAGCTTTTATAAATAAATTTTTTTTATGAAAAATATAAAATTATAAAAATCTAATAAATATTTTTTAATAAAATTTTACTATTATTAGTTATTTATCTATAATAAAAATAATGTATCTAAGTGTGAGTTTATCTGTTATTTGATGCGTACCTTTAAACAACAAATCGTATTCTTACTGCGTAGATCTCTTACATTAGACAAAGCCTATTACAATTTGCTTTTTCATACAGTTGGGGAGGTGCACGGCAAAGTTTTCAAAATTAAATGGTTGAAGCTTATGTTTTCCTATAAAGATTATATAATTTATTGTATATATACATATGTTTAATTATAATCTCAATTATGTTATTTTAATTTATCATTATAATTATGCTTTATTCTCTTAAAGAATTATAATATAGAGGAGTCAGATCATAAGTTTTCAATTGATGGACTCAATACAGTAGAAATACTGGTAGCTGGCCAACTCCGTGGACCACTCAGGCTAAGGTTGCTATTTGATTCATTCATCAATTCAAGAACCGTGAATATTTTCTGTTTTGGTGTACGTTTGTGCTTTCATTCTTTGATTCTATGATAGTGAAATATTTTCTTTTTCGTTTTTTTGAGTACATTGGAATTCGGTAAAGCATTCATGCTCTTTATTCTTATCATATTTAAATCTTACAGGTGCTAATGTTCCATTGACTGAAAGGTACCCAACAAGGCAACAATAATAAATATAGAAGGATAAAGATGACCCCATGAAAGCTTAATGTGAATCAATTGGACCCATTCTTCTGGGGAAAAAAAAATCAGAAATCCACTTTTGACCCAAAAGCTTACTTCATTCGACCATGGATGCATACTAGATTAACTTGCTTTATGATTAGACCATCCACCTTCACTTCCACGTCTTAATCTAAAAGACTTGATTATTTATAAGCAAAATAATCACTTGCCCTTCCACAAAGTTGTTCTCCCAAAGGACATATTGGTAAACACACTCAAGGCCAAATAATCTCCTCTAAATTACTTAAGCAACCCACTAGCTTACTAGCAATTCCCACTAAAACACAAGGTCATCTATGTACTTACGACGAAATATAAAAATTTCAAAGGCTTCAACTTTAAGTTCCCATTAGTTAAGCCTAAAAACATTCCAAAGAGAGAATCACACGTTTCAAACACCATTGTCTCTTGGGGCTTGAACTATAGTTCTATGGCCTCAAGAAGTGTTCCTTCAATTTCAAAGTTCAATTCCCACACAAACCCACCATCACCACGTGTATGCTTGTGCTCTCCCACCACACATCCTGGGTCCTTCAGGTGCAGCCTACACAAGAAGCCACACCGAGCTGTGCCTAGGAACCCCTCCAAAAACTACCATCATCTGGAGTCTTCTATGGCTGCCAAAGACAATTCTTTGAAGGCATTTCTCCTACAAGTTATTAAGCCCTCTAGCCATGATCTTCATAGGAGGAATAATTTCCAACCAAAGCCTACTTGATTTTGTTTGATGAATAGTAACAATGATGCAGTTGCAGTCTCTTGATCACAAATAGTTCTTTGGTCTTCTTCTGTTTGCTGTTGTATGTGTAAAAAAGAGAATCTCTTGTTTCTTTTTCTTTTCTTTTGCCGCCCCCTTTCACTGAGGGGTAAGAAAGAGTGTTTGTGAGGATATCTGTACATAAAAGATTTTGAAAATGCAGTGTTATAGTCCAAATCACAGTTTTGATTCTTAGTTTCTAATGGAGGAAAAAGTAGATTTTGTAGAGGATATGTTGTTTCTGGTGACATGTTTATTTGAATTTCACTTGTTTTGCAATGCACAATAGTTCCATGTAATTTCTGAAGCAGGTTCATTATTTGAATTAAAAAATTGAGGTCATATGTAATATTTTGAATACAATTTTCTCATTCTTTCACTTACGTTTCTATATATATATATATATGAATAAATATCTTAAAAATACAAAAATAACTTTTTGTTGTCCAACTTTTGTGAAAAGAAACAATTTTTCTTTCTCAGGAAATGAAAATCTTCTGCTGCTATTATGAGTGTCATTAATTACAATTTGTTTTTGTTAGAAGAGAGATTGAGGAGCAAATTTATGCCTACGATCCTAGTAGCTCACTGAAAATATCTACCATAATTTCAATTGCAAGTATATTACTTGGGATAAAATGGACTGCTGCAAACTTTTTATCTTCATCCATGATCATGACTTATATCTCTCGCAAAAGAAACCATTTAGCGATGATTAATTTAATTAACTACTTCTTATATTATATGATAAGCTTGATACTAAAATTTATTTGAATAAATTTAAAAAATTATTCAATAAAATTTTACATAAATAATAAAATACATTACATAATTTATAAGACGATGATAAATTACTTTCAGAAAGAAAGAAAATATTTGATAGAAAAAATACAATGGGAGAAAGAGAAGAGAAAATAAATTAAGAAAGAAAAAAGGGGTTGGCAATGTGTCATTCATCATAATACTGCTGAGCACGTTGATTAATTCGTCGCTCTGTCTCTTTTTCTTGACACATTACAAAATTATTACAACAACCTAAGAAAGAAATCTCTAACCACCTAAGACCTAGCCATGCCATGTGAGCTTCTTTCATTTTGTCTCTCCGACATAAAAGCCTTCCAGTTCTGTTGGCGAATTGTTTAAATAATTGTCTCTGATGTTTGCTTCAAATGAAATTTTTTACATTAACACGTTACCTACTGAATCAATTAACAAAAGAATGATTCTATCAAGAGAAAAAGAGTAAAAACAAAGCGAAACAAAACGGTGATCGTAACTGGCAGATTTAAGAGATATTTATATAAAAATGGCTCATATTGGTAATGTCGTGCATGGTTGATAAGATCTCAACTATGAATTAGTATTTAAATGGACAAGTCAACTAACAATATTGGTTAAAAATTTATTTGCCTAATTTACTTTCCTTTAGACAAAGTGATTTTCAATTCTAAACAGTGACACATTTCTATTATTTATATGAACGTAGAAGCGCCTTCATGATTATTCTTTTCACGCACAAGAAAATATAAAAAAATGTATAAATATTCACCTAAGATAAAATGAGAACCACATCACTTACAAAATTTAGATGAGATCCAAGATAATGTTATGCTTGTTATGGTTTTCATTTTGGATCCTGATATGCCAACTTGCATTATGAGTATTTTTAAAGAGTGTTTACTCCGAGTTTTAGATTGTATTTGATAATATAATTCCTAGTTTATCAGGAACTTACTTTTTTGGTCAACAAGCTAGGAAAGTTGTTTGATAAAAAAAATTATAATTTTTGAAAGTTAATTTTTAAAAAACCTAATCCAAACGGCTTTTACCTTATTAGAAGTTACTTACTAATATATTTTTATATTTTTTACTCTTAATCTTTAAAACAATTTTTATTCGTAGAAAATAACTCCTACCTCGTTTCTTTGAAACTCATGACATTTGACGGTTCTTCTGGGTCATAGTGGGTATATGGTGCTTTAAAATTATGCTTTTAATTTTATCTACGTGGGAGAGAGATAAATGGTGCTTTTCATTTATAGTCTTGTGGTTTTTCAATTGACATGAAATAATTTGCCAATTTAATTTGTTAATATTTGATAAAGGTGGTCGTGGAAATCTAACAAAATATTTATATTTGATATGTGTCAATATTTAAATTGGGTGGACATTCTGTTACTTTGTATCTAGATAGCTCAACAATTAATAATGAGGCGTGAACTAAAGCTTCGATTATTGATCAACTATATAAACAATCAAAATGATCAATAATGGAGCAGTAGTGCTGCCGAACATTTATTCAGTGTAGAGGGGAATTATATATATATATAAAGGGTGTGTGTCCTTTAGTTTTTTATTATTCCGCGATAATGTAAAATAAATGATCATTCCGCGACAAGATTGGAGCAATTTTCTTTGCAGAAAAGAAGTCATCTGCAGATCATAGCACGCAATATCAGCTCATGGTGTTGAGAATCATGTACATGTGTATGGTATATATGGTCGTGGATTTGGTTTTCATTTGGTTCTAAAGCACAAACAATGATTGGTCATTTTAGTTTGGTATTGAAAGTGGACGACGCATCACTCATGGGGTGTAATACAGAGAACCTAAACACAATAATTGATCAGTCACTACCCAATTACGCAAGCAAACTTGGCTCAACAAGCATCTCCTTTCAATCTGCTTAAATATCTAGACTTCAGTTGAACGATTTTATAGAATGCCATTTTTTTTTTCTTTAATTGTTAGCTTGGTGTGAATGACAGGTTTTAAAATAATTTGGAGGGAACTTTAATTAGTTTTCTTTGATTTTCACTCAATCAAAACTTCTCCATGGAAGCTTATGCAGTTTGTGAAGCGTAGGACTGACTGAAATGCTTGATTTGAAGTCTTACTGTCTCCCAAATCACATTATTTATATATTTTTATAAGAACTTTTCTAAATAGTTAAACTACTGAAGCACTTATTGTTTCTAAATGTATATATATTTTATAGTTTATAATTGAAAAAATTATAATGTTAATCTCTATTTTTTGGATGAGCCATCAAAATAGTCTTTTAAATTAAAAAAAAAAAAAGTTGTATTAATGTGGTATTTTAAGTGTTAATTAAATAGACCTTTTTACATGTCATTATTGATAGATAATTAGTTTAAATTATTTTTCATTTATAATTTCATCATCTTCTTAACTGATCTTTGTTCTGACTAACCTTCTTCTCCCACTTCTACCATTCTCTTCATCACTTGTTTACAATATGAATTACAATGGAAATGAGTAAACCACAACATTAAGTTTGATTCCTCTGTGAATGTGTTCCAATTTAATTTTATCTCAAAACATATTTTCTTAGTTTTGCCGAGTGTTACTGCTACAGTTGTTGTAGTTTATTTATTTATTTAAATAAATTTTAATCGATAATTTAGAATGCGTGAAAAAGAGTATACTCATTATATATGATTTAATTTACAAGATGAAGGTAACGTAGCAAGATTCAACTTGGCAGCCCGGGCAGCAATATTAATAATTTTTTATCGAACAACAGTGGAAGATATCTATCTACGTATATTAATTTCAATAGCTCAAAGATCCATCCATAACACGTTTTTAAGTTAGAAGACTACAATTTCAAAGCAACACAGTCACACTTGCATGGGCACTACGTGTCGTTCTTGTTTTCTAGTTAAGTTTTTCCAATGGAGAATCTTCCAAAGCGAAAGAATGGTATATGACTCGAACGACACTTTAAGTCTCAAAAGCAGATGGCTAACATAGCCTGACATGAGTCTTTTTCTTGTGTGACCCCATCATCATCATCGCACTAATTAATAAGCATTTCAACAATGCTTTTGTTCATCGGTGGGCAAGCCCACAGTTTTGTTATCGTAGAATTGATGCCCCTTGGATCACAGTATTACCCAATGCATATAAATATTTAACACTGCATTTATTAAGACTTAAATTTAAAATAAAATAAATTATAACAATTAATTAACGTGTTAAGTGTAATAATAACCAGAAAGTTGGGTGAGGAGCGAATATTATATACATATATAAAGTTAAACCCAAATCACAAAATGACGAACGAAATTGCTATATATACATTGTTGGAGGGAAGAAAGGTTTGCTAAGCCAAAGGGTCGATCCCTTCGCTTTGGAGAAAATCCAAGACGCAACACTTTCCCTCGTTTTTCACTCTCTCTCTCTCTCTAAAATGGCCGCAGCTTCTAGAAAATCAAGTGGACCTGTTCTCCGGTCACTCTCGCCGGCCGGCAGATTTTACAATTCCCGATCGTATTCTTCCACCGGCTTCGCATCTTCAACTTCAACCTTCACTCACTCAACCACCTTATTCCACCGTTCCACTTCTCCCACACGTGTCAATCTCCGCGGTTCTTCCGGTTCGGTTCCTTCCGTCCGGTGCGGTTCCGTTTCTCCGAACCATTCCATATCCGTCTCCGGCGCCGTCAATAGCCGTGCGATCAAACGGCAGAGCCACCACCAGAAACGGACCTGCATGTGCTCGCCGACGACGCATCCCGGCTCGTTCCGGTGCAGCCTCCACAAAAACTTCGGCTCTCGCACGGCGATGGGGCCGCAGTACTCGCCGAACCGGCTGAACGCACGGCGGTCGGCGATGACGAACTCGCTCGTGAGAATCGGTGGCGTGGAAGGCGACATCGTGAAGAGAGCCTTGGCGACGCTGATCCGGCCTTCGTCGCACCAGCAGCGCCGCCGCAGCGACTTCCGTTCTCGACCGAGCAGACTCTCCATCATGTCCAAAGTTGAAGAAGAACCGTGAATGAGCCGAACAAAAACCACCGTGGACTGTGGCGGATTCGATTCGGAACGGATTAGTTTTTTGGTTACTTCTAGAATTGAAATCCATCGAAGACTGTGGATATGCTTCGTTCTTTGTGTGTGTATATAGTTTAGAATTAATTAGGATATAAAATATAGTACAGAGGAAATATTAGTGGCCGCCATTGATGGCGATGCTTGAAGTTCAGCACATAATTTCATCGAAACAATTTTGTTAAAAATCCGTACATCGTTAGTCCTCACTCCAAAATCAGAGTATAATTTTGACTCCAAATGCCAAAACTTTTCTTCAATTGTTTCTCCTTTTCCTTGCTTCAGAATCTCACTGATTTAATTACCAATATACCCCACTACTAGCTCTTATACCAGTCTCTTATTTATGTTCACCAACAGTTAACATTTTTTATTTTTATTTTTTTGTATTTTACAATTCTTGTACAGATAAATTTTCAATCCTTTTTTTATCAATAAAATTATAAATTATTTCTTAATACACAGTTATTCAACTCTCCAATACACCTAGAGAATAAGATACTGTAATGAAAAAAATTCATATTAAATCTTATAAAAAAAATTCTTCAATAGAAAAATTATGGGGAACTTGTATCAGTAGTCTTCACCATAGCACAGTGTATGGGTTGATGAGTTTGAAAGCTTGATTTACCTTGACAACAAAGTGATCTTAAATGTATGACATAATTTCCATTCAACCAGAAGGACCGAACAACTATTTTTCTTCAATTTTATTTGTCTTTTTTTAAGCACTTGTTTGGATGCTACTAATTTACTAAGCTGCTTTGCTTGACGCAGAACGAGACATGCCCTAAAATTTTTATGTTGTTTTGGTTAAGAGAGGAATCATTAGATTAAAGTAACATAAATGTAGGTAAACTACTACTATTGGAGAAAGGTTTTCTTTCTATTTCCCAAACCGAACATGTAAATTTGAAATTGTTTTGAATCAATATACTGAATCTCAAATCACCATGTACTCGTAACACTGATTCTTTTGGTGCCCAAATGCACTGGCTCGTGTCTCTCACAAGTTACACCAGAAGTTCCAAAATATTTAACTATTAAGGAGATTCACGATGGCAAAAATAATCCCATGACTGTGTGAATTGTTTTGTGTGCGACTCACTCAATTTTAGTGCTACATATAAATAGACTACTGGTAAGAACACTAGGTGCACATAAATTTTCCAAATACTTTTATTCTATTAAAAATTTTATGGGAAAAAAGGATAAACATATTTGAAAAGCTTAATTAATATGTGAAATTTGTGTACAACGGATAATTTACGGAAGTTTAAGAAAACAGTGGTCGTGGAATTCAAGGGTTACGTCTGTGACAAGATCATGTGAATGTCTATGTCTCTATCTTATATATGGAATGCTTATTATTTGAATGACTACGTGGTGGTGCTTTTGGTCTCACGTTCTTCCCTAGTTTGCGCAGAATAGAGAGTACTAAAAGGCAATTATATTAGGAGGCCTAAAGTTGAATTAATTAAAATGCTTAAAATAATTATATCGTTAAAAAATGATATTACATTTTATTTGACGGTAGCTTATTTGAATTTTATGTGATAACTATTAATTTCTCTCTCAGAATAAGAGATAAGGATAAGAAAATTGGACTTTTGCGTCCAAGCAGTTAGTGTTCATAATGTGTATGAGTTGGCAATGACTCTAAAGGAATCCATTGTTTTGTCCCTTAGCTGAGCAACTGGTTTTAGAGACCATGGTTTTGTTGATTCAATGATATGCCTTCTCTGAATAGGGAAGTATACATTATTTGTATATGATTGGATCATCTTTCACATTCACAATATTTGGTGGACTCTGTCTTGGGAGTTTTGTTTTAGTTACTGTATTAGTAGTGTTCTCATCACCAAATTAAAAATTTTGAAATTCAATAGACCTAGCCAAAAATATGAAAGGTGATGATGATTCCATGCCATGAAGAATTGAAAGATTTTTATTGTTATTTTGTCTTGAGATTAAAGATGCTAAATATGAAAAACATCATAACAATGCACAATAAATATACAATAGATTAAGCATCCAAGCTTGAGGTTAAACACAACTTATAATTGCATGAACATGTTTATGTTGGGCTTTCTTAGGGGCAGCCCATGTAGAACTTATATTAAAACATTAGAATTGCAAGAATAAAAGAACCTTAGAAACACTTCTAAGAAAAAAAAACCCAAGATCCCACTTTTTCGGGCCTATATAGATCCAATCTAAAGTTCATCCATTGGATATATAAAACAGGCTTTCATATTGACATGGCCCAAAACCTGAAAAAAAAGGGTCATTAATATTTTCCAACTAAGAAGAATAATTTTCTATTTTATTGTAAAGAGAGACTATTTTAAATTTCATGTTCTTCAATAAAAAAATTCATTATCTCATTTTATATTTTAATTTTTAACATGTTTGCAAATTAAATATGTCATTTCACTTAATCTCTTTCAAAAATAATATTTCTTTTTCTATCAATTTTTTCAAGCTTATAAAATCTGTTCTGGCTTTTTTTTTTTTTTTCTAAGCTATAATTGTACCTTGTCTTCTATGAAGAACAAACACCCAAAATGGGAAATAATACAGAATATAAACAAAATTAACAACTGAGTTGAGCATATAATTATTCTTATAAAATTTTAAATACTGATTAGCTTGCACAAAATAGAGATAAATGATATAGAGTGAACAAAATAGGAAGGATAGAAGTGGAAAGGAAATAAAATACAAATGATATGCGGTTTGGAATGAATAGAACAAACAATGGGATAAAAATATTTTTTTATTTATTTGAATGAGTTAAAAAGAGTATTAAAATATTTATATAAATAATATAATATTTTTATATAATTTTGTATAGGTTAAGCTTTAACAATTAATCTACTTACTTAATGGCAGAAAGTTTACATTAATTAATTAAAAAAATTATTACATGAATATCAAATATTCTTAAATATATTTTACAGCATTATTTAATTGTAGAGGATGACAATAAGATGTAATCATAATGAATTTTATATATGAATTGATATATAAAGTTCATTTATTGAAGCATAACTACATAGTAATTTTTCTTCCTATCTGGCATTTTTCTTTTTTCCTTTTTAAAGAATGATTGCGATGTCACACGTTACTCTGCACAATATTTATTTTGGGTGAAACTTATTTATTATCATAATTTTTCTCAAGTCAAACGAATTAATAAATTTCATACTCAACTAAACGTGCATTTGACAAATATTAATTTTATTAGCTCAATTATTCTTTGGTTTCCAAGTTAATTTTAGTTTTTTTTATTTAAATCTTTTTCAGTGAGTTAATTTATCATTCCAACCCCAATTATGTAGTATAACTATGTTGATAAAATAATCGATAAATATGGTTTTAATTGTCATTTTCAAACAAAGTTTGTTGACTTAAGTAAATTCCTGGAATCGAAATATATTTCCTTTGGAATTCAAAATTCCTTTCAATCAAAATAAACAAAAGAAAAAAAAATATAAATATAGAATCCTCTAGTCTTATTTTACGGTTCTAAAGTTTCATTTTATCATCCAATTGATAAATATAGAAATTAATTGCACAAAATGCTCCTTTTAACTCAAAAATATGTCGAGAGTTAAATTTTTAAAAATTCACAATTATCTTAATATATTTATATAAAAGAATTATTGATAATAATGTTTTCCTAACTTGAATGCTTTGCTTGTCAAAAGTTCAAAATAATTTAAACCAAACAGATAGTTAATAGTAATTAAATAACATGAGATGAAATGAGGAATGATAAAATAAAATAACTAATTATTTTGTCATACCTTCATTAATTTGAAAAAAAAAGTTAAAATAAATAATTATATCATTTTATTTTCTTTCGTTTAACTTATTTTCATGAATTGAAGGATAACAATCATAGCCATACTAAACCAAATCATGTGTGAACTAAATTGGCTTAGTGACATTGCGTGTCGTGTTTTTGTTTACAACCCAAAAACAAAAGGCTCTGATTTTAATATTTTGTGATTGGTGGGACACTTGCAACTAAAATGGTGGAGAGATCTGTTCTTGGGAGATGAACTCGTAGCTTTTGTTCTCTGTCTTTTTCTTCAATTTATTTACTTATAATCTTCAATGAATTTACTTGTCTAACATTGATTTCTCAGTTGAGTTTTTCTTTTTATTTTACATTTTAAAAATATAACTTTTTTATACATAAGATATAAAAATTAAACATTTCTCACCTTTTCATTAAATATAAATATATCTATTAATTTCTTATATCAACGAGTGAAGTTTTCCTATTACATGTAGAATTCCTGCGACATCTTAATATATAAAAAGAATAAGCACATTTTAGACAACAATCTTGCAACAGAGATATTTTGAGAATTAAAATAAAAGAAATGAACATTAATGTAACAAAAGTTTAGAACTTGAATATAATAAAGCGTTGATTTGCAATAAAAGTTTACAATTTTGATAAAGGTAAATCCAATGCAAAAGAACTGAATGTTAAGAAAAGCTAACGAATAAAAAGCTGAGTAATCATTCTGTGTTTGGCTTGAAGCATTGATGATGGGGACGGTAACCGGCGACGTTTAAGCTGAGAAACATCTCGATCCATATGAACTCAAGTACTCGATCCTTTCCCTTTCTCTCTTTCTACCCCAATCACACACACAGACACTTAACTTATCACTTTCTCTATAAAATAATCATTACACACAAACACAACCCAACAAAACCCTCGTTGTGCACACGCCGCACGCACCCTTTCCACATAAACAATGTTGAGGCTGAAAGGAGGTAGCAGGCCACCGTGGGTGGGACTAGGCGCCGCCGTGTGGGTTCAGATTGCATCTGGAAACACTTTCACTTTCCCTCTTTACTCTCACTCTTTGAAATCAGTTTTGGGTTTCAACCAGCGCCAAGTCACTCTCCTCGGTGTCGCCAACGACATCGGCGAAAGCGTTGGCTTGATTCCCGGCATTGCCTGTAACAAGTTCCCTCCTTGGCTCATCCTTCTCGTTGGTTCCATCGCTTCCTTTCTCGGTTACGGTCTTCTCTGGCTCGCTATCAGCGACACCCTTCACTCCCTCCCTTACTTACTGGTTCGTCTTTTGCGACTTCCTTTAAACTACGTCGTTTTCTCAAACTCTTGTTTTATAAATTTTTGTGATTTCCTTGCAGCTATGGTTCGCGCTTGTTATTGCTGCTAACAGTAGCGCGTGGTTAACCACCGCGGTTCTGGTGACCAACATGAGAAACTTCCCTGCTAGTAGAGGCACTGTTGCGGGAATTTTGAAAGGTTATGGTGGGCTTAGTGCTGCGGTTTTTACTGAAATTTATAGTTTGGTGCTTCATAATTCTTCTTCCAACTTTCTCTTGCTTCTTGCAATTGGGATTCCTGTTATTTGCTTCAGCATGATGTTTCTTGTTAGGCCTTGTAACCCTGCAACCGGTGATGACCCTGCAGAGAGTTACCATTTTATGTTTATTCAAGGTTCTAGTGTGGTTTTGGGTGTGTATCTTCTTGCCACTACCATATTTGGTAATTTAATGCCGTTTAGTGGGGCGGTTTCGTATGTTTTGGTGGCTGTGATGATTCTTCTTCTCATGGCTCCACTTGCCGTCCCTGTGAAGATGACACTCTGTCCTAAGAAAGATTCCAAATCAGACTCGTCTGAGCAAAGAGTTGGATCTTCCGACTCGCTCACTCAAGGCAAAGATGAGAATGTGCAACCGCTGCTGGCGTCGTCGTCGGCTGGAACGCTTGGGAGTTTTTATGATCAGGATGAATTGTCTGAGGTGGCTGAGCTTCTTGCTTTGGGTGAGGGAGCAGTTAAGCAGAAGAAGAGAAGGCCTAAACGTGGGGAAGATTTTAAGTTTACTGAGGCTATAGTAAAGGCTGATTTCTGGTTACTGTTTTTTGTTTTCTTTGTTGGTGTTGGCACTGGTGTTACCGTTCTCAATAATCTAGCCCAAATTGGTATTGCACAAGGCGAGGAAGATACCACCACCTTGCTTTCCATTTTCAGTTTTTGCAATTTTGTGGGGAGGCTTGGTGGAGGAGTTGTTTCAGAGCATTTTGTCAGGTGAGTGACATTTATTTATACTGAGTAACACCTAGTAGGATAAGACTTTGGTTGTTGTTGTCCTCTTTTGTTATTATATGATGAAATCAGAGTAACTGGCATACATATATGCTGTTGACAATCATACATCATCTTTTTGTGAACACGGGTTTGGAGCATTAATGAAGTTAATAGAAGAGTAAAGTTTTCATATTTAACTGAATCTTGTTAATAGGGATCCTTCTGAAACTGTAATTCAACTTACGAACCCACATTGAACTGGTTGCAAGTCTGTTTAGCTTGTAGTGGAGTTGAATGTCAGTAATGTACTAGTGTGACAGAGTACCAACTTCTCTGCTTTTGATTGATTCGATGGATTGTAATTCCAGCTCTTGACAATTTACAGGTCAAAAACGATCCCAAGGACAGTCTGGATGACTTGCACACAGATAATTATGCTCGTCGTATACCTTCTGTTTGCCTTTGCTATCAAAGGAACCCTTTATCCTGCAGTTGCGTTTCTTGGTGTCTCCTATGGTGTGCAAGTTTCCGTAATGATCCCCACTGTTTCTGAGCTTTTTGGTTTGAAGCACTTTGGCGTATTGATCAACTTCATGACATTGGGGAATCCAATTGGTGCACTCCTTTTTTCAGCTCTGCTAGCAGGGTATGTATATGATAATGAGGCAGCAAAGCAGCATGGTATAGGCCTTATTGCTTCCTGTGTGGGTGCAAATTGCTTTAAGCTTACCTTTTTTGTTCTTGCTGGGGTGTGTGCTGTGGGCATCATCTTGAGCATTATCCTGACTTTGAGAATTAAGCCCGTTTACCAAATGCTTTATGCCGGAGGTTCTTTCAGGCTGCCTCAAACATCTTAAAGTCATTGAAAGAAGTAGTAAAGCTGAACAATGAATAAAACTGAGGACTTCATAAGTCTATTCTATGCCAGTTGTGCTGGTATTTTCTTCTGGTCTACCGCTACTGCGATGTATATGCAGCTGGACATCAATTATGAAATTCAAAATTTTGTTATCTCACATGGAGAATACCTGCATTTGCTCTCGTGTTAGGCTTAAAGATGATACTGGCTGCTGGGAGTTAGAAGATTAGGTAAGTGATATGTTGTGATCTGCATACCTAAGGATAATGTTGTATTATGTAGTCTAAAGTGAAAATTTGAACTTAATTTAGTGTGTGTTTTGGAATTTTAATTCCAATTATATGGAAATTATAATTAGTTCAGAATTATAACTTTTTATGTTCGATTCTGCAAAGAATTAGATCGTAGAATGATAATCGTAAGTTGAACTTTAATTTCACTTTGACACTTCTAGCTAATAAGGAATAGCCATGATGTTAGGTTTGAATAAAATATTTGGTCCACTGGTGAGGTGATAACAATTAGGGGTGATGGTGGCAACTATGACATAATATTTTTTTAAAATTATTATAAAAAATTTATAAATTTCTATTGTGTTTTTCAACATACAATAAAAAAACGGTATTAAATATATCTCTCATGTTTCATCCACGAATTATAGACAAATCAGTTAAAAATAATAATAACTAGCAGTTGTAATTTTACAAATACTGAGAAATATGTGACTATAATAAGGACTAGTGTAGTGATGATAGTGGGGGTATTCAACACAACTTAACTATGTACTGCCAACCCTTAAATTCGTGTACCACGTCACGTGAAAGGTCGTTGACTCATAATTAACACTCAAGTGGACGGGTAAAGTGGGAGAGAAAATTAAGAAAAACAAAACAAAAAACCGTAGTAAACATCACATTTCATATGCTACTTGTCATTATTATATGGAAAAACCTTTTTTCTCACTCGCCATTAAAATATAATAATCCAAGAGAAAACAAAAGCAAAATAAACTAAGTTGGTTTAAGATCTTCAAACAATGTAGGCCACAAGGCATAATCATCATCGTAATCAGCATCACCTCTGATCTTATTGTAAGGACTATAACCCATTGGGCTTTCAGCCCTTTCATCTAAAGGCCTTGGCATCCTTGGACTTCTGTTATTAACCATTGATCTTGCATCAAGTGGTCCAGAAAGCCTAGGACTCTTTGCTGTGCCCATGAACCTTCCATCAAGAGGCCTATTACTCATTATTGGACTTCTATTTGCATTTGCATACACTACTCTCTCACTGTTATTATTCACCTTTCCATCAAGAGGACCAGATAACTTCATCACCTTGTTGTTATTCACCATCTTCTCATGCATTATTCTTCCATTTCCATCTAAAGGCCCTGAAAGTGCAATTGTCCTATTCCTTTGCATTCCCTTCTCTCCCTTGAGTTCTTCAGCCCCATTATGCTTTGCCCTTTTCCATTTCCCTTGGTACCAGTTTGGCTCTGGTGGCATGTCCTTGATCATCATCATTTCTTGATGATCTTCACGATAAACCAGCTTGCTAAAGCACTTCCTGAGGCACTTTTTGATGACCCCAGAAAGCTTTTTGCTGCTTTTCACTGCCCCATCTTCCTTCTTGGCAAGCTTGAGTATTTCTAGCCTGTGTTTGGCAATGGAAATGCCCATGCTCTGAAGAAATTCGTGGTTGAAGTAGATAGCATCTTCTAACTGAAGCTCGTTGCGTGCAAAGGCTAAACCATACTCGTATATGAGGGAGGGTTCTAGGTTGGTCTTGGATAACCAGGAGAACCAATCCATGGTAGAAGAAGATTAGTGGGTTGTGTCACAATGAGTGTATATATAATAATAGGTTGTAGCTATTTTAGCTAGTTTATGTTGAGGTTTGTGGTGGGTGTCGAGATTTATGTGGGAAAGTTGAGGAGTTGGAAAGTTTAAGGCTTGAGCGTCAGTGCATAAATGTGGCGTGTAAATGGCTATTAACTTTTGGTTTCATAGACCAGTTGCATTACTTTCCAATTTATTGTTTATTTATTGATTTTCTTTTCTTTGAATGGAATTCGGATGGTGGTTGAGTGACAATAGCCAAGAATATGTGGGAATTTTTGACATTTTCGGAAAGACATGTATCATGTCTGTAGCTCACGGGCACGGGCACAGGCACTGCAGGTTATATATGATAACAGGTTCCAATTCTCGAAATTAGAAACCATGATATATTTTGGTGTTTTAAGTTATCCTACAAGGTTAAACAACTCCATCTTAATTGGACTAATAGAATTAAGGTATTATATTAATTTTTTATAGATAAAATTTTATAAGTCTACATAACGTGAAGTTATTTACTACATGAGATAAATTGCATAAACTCTCTCTTATATAATATCTATAGGTCTTTTGTTTAAAACATAAATAAAGCTAGGTGTATATAAAATAAGATGAAGTGAACAGGAGATCAAAATCTGCGGCTGTGTTTATGGAGCTCAACAATGTTAGATTGAGACAGGGGCCGGTTAAAGTGGGAATGAAATGGGTTGGAGGCGCCAGGGTCCCAAGAAAAAAGCAAGTTATAAAGGCATATCAATTTGGTAACCTACTCTCCCCTTATTGCCTTAATTATTCGGAAACTCCAAATGATCCACCTTTGAACGTTCAAACCTTTAATTAGCACTTACCTGCCCTGAGCCCACCTTATGTAAATGGGTTAGTGAATATATATATATATATATATATATGTGTATATTACTAAATCCTTGATTTAGTTATTATATCCCTCAATCATTTTAGTATTTTTAATCATATTATTAACATACATAAGAATATATCATTTTAATCTTTTAAATTATTATTTATTACACAGTTTAATTTATAATTTTAAAAAAATTTCATCTATAGTTTTTGATGCAGATAATATTAAAGAAAATAAAAAAATAGATAGTAAATAAAAAAATTAGAAATTAAAATAAAATAAAAACATATATTATATTGTTTGGATATTCTCTCTAGCAGTATGCGGATCGTGTCTGATATTTATTTAAAAAAATGGTCAATTTAAATAAATATTTCAAAAACAAAGTTGATTCAATGACTAGCTATTAAGTGATATCATAGATACGTTATTTTGGATTGCAATTATACTGTGTAGTTTGAATATTATACGATGCCAGTACATAACATGATAACAATAATAATGACAATAACTCTTTTCAACAGTTTGCCTGTCACAGTTCTTCAACGCCATGGTGGGTCTAAGATTTTGGGTCAAGTTTTATGCCTTGGTTGGAGCTGAGTTCATAGAAATTAGGCATCAGAGTCGCTACATCCAACAGTATGACATGAGATATTAACGGTGAATTCAATGTTTTGGACCAAAATTAGACAAAATAAATAAAGGGAAATGTAAATACACTCTTTTAATTCAATGTGAGTTAAAGACCTGTTGCTCCCATGCTATACCTGTCTTTGTATTCTATAAAAGCAGAGTGGGCTTCAATATGAAATGAAATGAAGCCCACCAACCAACTAGTGGATTGAGTCAAAGGATACTTGCCAACAAAATTACCCGCTCAAATCAGAAGCAGACAAATTACGATGTTCTTTATCCTATATGTTTGACAGTCAGCACTTTATGGTATTGTTACTCTGCAATGTTCATTGTCTGCCACCATGTTTCCTTGTTTTCGAGAGGGATCCAGAGTTTATGTTCTTCATTACTATCCTAGTTAGAAAAAAAAATGGTAAGAAAAAAAAGTGTAATTAAGAACATAACTTGTTACGTATTTGAAAGCATTATTTTTTTATGGGTGAAAAAAAAAAACATTCGACGGGATACACGTTAACTTTTATAACATGAAAGGGTAAGAGTTTGCAATATCACGGGATTTTTCTAATCATGAGGGTTTTGTAGATAGTTCAAGAGATTTATCCATAACACTATTAAACAACAAAGTACTTGAAGTTTTATTACTACCTTCTTGGCATAGAAAATAATGAGAAGGGAGAAAATATACCTTTTTCTTTATGAACATAGCTAATGCATGTTTACAGAGAATACCCAAATATTCAAACATGTGACAATTACAATTTACTTCTTTTGAAATAGCACAAAATTTCACATGGTCCACGAGCTTCTCTTTCCAGATTTCATGAACCTTGTACACGAACACGTCATCAAAAAAATTCAACTTTCTCTATTGTAAAATTTTGATCCAACCTATTTATCTTGAGGTGTTCTAAAATATTTTTTGACATAACTTCTTGAAGCTGCTGCTTCTCTGAGATAGAAAGTTTGCAAAAGTAGTTTTGAACTTATTGTCTTGAAAGTTCTCTCTCTTTCCTTTTTATAACGTGCATCAAGAGCCTTATCATATTGTGTCACAAACTTGTTCAATGGAATATTTTTTAACTGAAAAAATCTCTAAAAAATTAATTCATACTTTCACTCCTTCGTGTGTTGGACATCTCAGCACAAATATAGCGTAAACAGGCAATAATCCATTTTGTTTTCTTGGATAGAGTATATCATTTGTAGCCATTGATTATCTTGCAATCCATACTTACCAATTATTGCTTCTCAATAAAAAAAAATTCAAATTATTTAATACTGAGAGATTAGTGAGTGCATTTATAAAAATGATTCTTAAATTTACTATGCTCATGATAATAATGATGATTAACCACCGAAAACACCCATGCATGCAACAGCTCTAGTGATAGTAGCATCCTGGCGAATGATAATTCTTTTGAAGGAACACCAGACAACCGAACAAAACTTTGTTTTTGTTTCATCCCATAATAAAGTACAACCAAAAAGAATATATTGCTGATGATATATGATTAACTCCAATGAATGGAACAAAGGCATTTTATATCTATTTGTTAAGTATGTTGGATCAAAAGTCACCACATCACCAAGGTGCTTGTAAGCCATTCTAGACTCTTAATCAATCCAAAAGCAATTTGCAAATTACGCTTCTGCAATTGACAATTCTTAAAATATGATAACATCAACCAAGCATCTCCTTTTTCGTTGACTAAATCCAATATTACCATATCCCTACTCTCATTACACAAGAAGGATGCTATTTTGCTAGGACACAAACTAGAGTCATCAAGCACATCATGATTATGGTCTCTTATAAATCTAGAAATAATCAATTTATTTATTTTTTTCCTTTATATATAGCATTGCCTTGCATCTTACCCTTGTCTCATAATGTGGTCCAGGACTTCTATTTTTCATTGTAGCATGCTTTTTTACTCGAAAACCCTCCTTTGAACAAACAATCCCTGGACCAATTATCATACCGTTCGTTCTTAATTTATTGATATGACCCAAACAAAACCTAAAACGTTTATTCTTTGCATACCTTAGATAACGATTCTTTGCATCTTCAAATGATGTGAACTTCATTCCCCCATAAGGGTCCAATGGAGGCTTTAATGGTTGTCCACTATTAAGATGATCCACACTTTTGAGAGCACTTTCAACTCTATTATCCAAGTAAGAATTAATTTTCATGCACTCCATTCCTTCATAAAGCTCTAATGGTAGTCCAATATTGAGATGATCCATTTTAAGATCAGGTTAGCATATTCGATCATCTTAATTCCTAATATAACAAGCATTCAAAATGATAAACAAATTAGGTTATTGTTTCTACTAAACTAAACAAAAGGAACAAATACATAAAATTAGGCAAGACACTAGAAGTAAAAAAAAAAAGTTATTTTCAAAAGTGCAAATTTTATACCCCCAATTAAACTCCGAATAGTAAATTACGCAGTCTATGTATAAAAATTCAAATGCTTAGATGAATAGCCAAAAAATCCAAGAATCAAATAATGAGTAAAGAAAAATAACACATACACCATATATATTACCATTTGATCACTTGACAAAAAAGCACCTCCCTTGAGTGAAAAAAGAAAGTTTACTTAATATTTTACTTTGTGGTTGGACGAAACTTTCATGAAAATTAGAATTTTAAGATTTAATTGAATAATTTAATTTAATTAATAACTGTAATGTGAAAAAAGAAGATGAGGTTGCACGATTTCATTGAATGCCAATGTAAAATAATTTTACACAGCCAGTATATAACAATTAAACTCGTTTTTATAATATTACATGAGAATCACATCTTTTATCAAATTTTAATTGATATTTACAAAAGATTGTTAGATTGAACTAAATTTTTAATTTCTCTAATGATAGGATAAAATATATATGTCTTAAAAGAGTCTTTTGATTAAACCATCACAAACAATCATTCCATTTAAATTACAAACACAACTAATAAAGGACTCTTACCTGAAATCTTGTGTATTTTAGAAAGAAACAACACAAAATTAGATTTAATGTAATCACTTAACTCTTCAATATTGTGTGATATTTTTACTTAAAAATCTAATAATTTATGTTTAATCATAATAATCAGATAGCAATACTAAAAAAAATATTCAAAATATCAATCCTATTTGAATTTCGCTAATTGAAGTTAGTGAACAGCATTCAGACAGACCAAAGCTGAAAAAAACGAACATAAATTTTTTTAATAATTAATTTACTATATATATTAAAAACAAAATAACAATATATAACATAAAATGATTCAAATTATTAGACTCAGAATAGTTTAAAGGACGCTAGTTAAAAAATTAAAATAAATTTTAAAAAAATTGTTAAAATAAATACTCAGTACACATCCTAACCATTGATTGCTTTAATTTTAATTATAACCTAAACGCAGCAAAGTTAAAGGGAGAGTGATATTCCCTTTTGTATTTGTGTTGTTCACTGAACAGGACGACGACGGAGAAGTAGAATTGGAAATCAGAAACCACCGTTGTGAGTGTGAGATGGCGAAATTGAAGGTAGGAGGAACGTGGGGAGGGGTGTTGGAAGACGTGGACCTGCACGCGTGGACCATCGCCACGCTCCGTCAAGAAGTCGCTACCCGATCCAACTCTCCCCCTGACTCCATCAATCTCATATGCGCCGGCAAGATTCTCAAAGACGACGCCGTTTCATCCCCACAATCCTTGGCCCAACACGGCATCAAAAACAACTCCAAAATCCTCGCCACGCGCCTCTCCCCTCAACAAGAAGGAGTCTCCCTCCTCGCCGAAGAACAACGCTCTCAGAGACTCGCACGCATCAGGTACCTTTACCTTCGTTCGTTACTCTTCGTTTCCACCGCACGACGTCGTTTTCATGTGTCTCTGTTTGCACAGGGCAGCTGCCACTGCTATGGCGGAACGCCACGCCGAAGGTTCGTTGCCTTTGGAAGACTTCAATATTGAAGTGGAAGATCAGAGTGGACAGAAAGTGCGTTTAGGGTCTGAGACTGATCAGAGGTATTGATTGGTTTTAGTGTCTCAATTTCTAGTGTTGGAGTGAGGCTTATTTTAGGCGTTGTTTGGCAGGGCAGTGATGATGGGACTTATGCTTCATGCCAAGGGGAAGCGTCTTGTAAGACAAGGGAATTACAAAGATGCACTCGAAGTCCTTAGCATGGGAGAGGTCAGTTTCTTGTAAATCTGCTTATTCCAAGGTCGAAACTTAGGTGTATTATATGTGCTTCTGGTGTTGCTCTTCAATTAAAATTGAAGTTTCATTTCGGTAATCTATATAATAAAAGTTGACATTAAAGGTCGATGTACCATATTGAAGTAAAAGTGAAACTCTAATTGTACTGTACAAGTTTTTCTTTTTTCAAATTGGTGTTGTCCTGAAATGGAATAATGCTATTTGCATTTGGTGTGGCTGATCAATGTTGTGCTCGATGTATTGTAATGAATAGGCACTTGCATTGTCTGATCTAAGTTGAATGGCGTCTTTATTCACTTTCCTTAACCTTGGACATGTTTTTGCTAGCATTTTGGCTCAATTTGTTGGTTCCTTTTTGTGTCAACGATTCAATTATTCAAGACCAAATTTATTTTGCAGGAGGCGTTCTCTCTTTGTGATCCGAAAGTCATTGAGGTGAGTGATCCAAACTTTTTTCACCTTTGGTCACATGACAATTTACTTGCCAATTGTTTATTTAAGCCGAGCCATGGTGAAATTAGGCGCTTAACTGAAACTTTAGCTACCTATTCCTTTTGTGTCTCCCCAAACCTAGTTGACATCAGAAATAGCCATTTTACCTCTGAAGAATGTGGTGCTGGCATGCATTTTGTAATGAAGCTGTTAAATTATGTGGGAAAAGTTGAGTCTTTATTTTGAAGAAAAACAATTGAACTTGTCTAAAGGCCCTGCTCCCTCCCTCCCAAGAAAAAGAAAAAAAATATCTTCCAGAAGGAAAGTTGTGGCAAAACTCTAATGTGTTTGCTTTTCCAAAATTATTTGAGCTACTAACATGATAATTCCAATTGGTTTCTTTTAATATAATTTCCTATTGGGTTTGACCCTTTAAAGTGAGAAGTGCAATCTCGAGAAGAAAGTGTGGAGTTATAAACCTTGGTTGAAAAATCTAGTAGTGGATTTTAACATCATATTTCATGACACACGGGCATGTATTTTATAACAATTTTGACTGTTAATTTTTCAATCAATAGTTATAACTCCATGCTATTTGACCTAAAAGTACATCTCACATTTTAGAGGAGCCAAATTATTGCCTATGTTTGTTCTCATTCTCTGAATTTAATAAAATTTCTCTTTTCATTCAGCTTATTGATAATGTTCCGATACTGCAAATAGACATGGTGTGGTGCTACTTTATGATACGGGACATCAGATGGCTCTCGGATGCAGGGAAGCGTCTTGAAATGGCTAGGGTGGGAATTGAACGTGCCCATGGAAAGGATTCTCTCCGCCTCAGACTCTTACAAGGAGGTCGCTATCCAGAACTTGCACTGTGAGTTGCTTCTGTGTATTGTTTAGCTTCTTTCCTGAGAAATTCTCAAAACATTTGTGGGATGCAATTCAAAGTAGGTTAACTTCCAGTTCTTATTTCAACTTGCAAGTTGATTAACTTTTCGGACCTTGTACATAGGCATTTGAGACTAGAGTTGCTTGAAGGGGTGGTGGCATATCATAGTGGCCAGTTGGAGCGATCAAGAGAAGCATTAGCTTCTGCAAAAGCAAAGTTTGTCCAGGTGTGTTAAACTACTATAGCTAATTGGTCTCCTTGTTTTACACCTATGTTCTATGTTTTGGAATTGAGTGAAAAAAAGGGTTAATATTTTACGCATATGTTATATTTTTTGGTCTCCTTATTTGATCATCATGCTAGTTGGTATCTGTGACATGTATCTTAATCTTACAAGATGTGTGTTAAATTAGATAAAGATCAGCTGAAGATCAATTGTCTACAGCGTAAAAGAATAAACATTACTAACTTTAAAATTTGAAGGTACAAAAATAAATTTTGAACATCAGTCTGGCTTCAGATGTTTTAAAATTGATTCTTCTAGTATCTTTCAAAGAAGTAAAAGAACATATAGTCTAGCTGAGGAGTTTAGCATAGCATACGTTAGTTTTTTATTCTCCTTGTAAGCAATGTCCGCTTTGTTGCAGCTGCAAGTTCCAGATGAAGCCTTATCTCTCGTTATGAGCATGGGCTTCATTGAACGTGATGCAAAGAGAGCATTACGAATGAACAATCAAGATGTTGCAGGTGCCATTGATTTCCTTGTTGAGGAGAGGGCAAAGAAAATGCAAAAACGTGAGGAAGATATTAAGAGAAGAAATGAGATTAGGTATGCGTGCCACTTAATATTTTTTTACTTTCATTTTGTTTGGCATCTCTCTCTTTCTAAATAGCTTCCATCCAGGGAGCAAAAGATGTATGGGATGACACCCTTAAAGAAAGCTGTGGATCTTGAGAGATTGAAGGAATTGGTCTCTATTGGGTGAGTGTTATTTTTTAGTTGTATTGTTGGTTTCGGTATTTGGTAATGTTTGAGAGGCCTCTTCGTGATTTAAACGAACATCCTTGGCTGGTCACTATCTGTAGTTCCATATTGCATTTCCAACATGGATTAATTGTTGTATTTCTTTTTTTTCAGTCTTTGCTTGCTAATCATATTAGATTAGTATTTTATAAATCTGTTTCACAGAACTTGCATACACTGTACTAGTCAGACTTGACACTTGCTACTATTCTGGCAGGTTTGATAAGGAGCTTGCTGCTGAAGCCCTTAGAAAAAATGAAAACGATTCTCAGAAGGCATTGGATGATTTGACAAATCCAGAAACTAATTCTTCTTTACAGGTTACTATATGTCTTCACAAAATCCTATGTAACTTCAAATAATATTCCTACTTACTCTCATCACATGAAGGTTAATATCGAGACAAGGAAAAGGAAGAGAGAGAAACAAGCAAAAGATTCTGCTATTGAAAAAGTTGTGCAAATGGGTTTTGAAAGATCAATAGGTATAGTTGTTGTCTAGATTCAAGGCACAACAATGTGCCTAGGTGATACCTGGTTATATAGACATATAGGGCTGTTCTACTGCGTTCTGATACAGCTGTTTTTTTTTTTTTTTGGCAGTGGTTGCTGCTTTTGAGGCTGGTGGTACCTTAGAACAAGTATTGCAAAGACTGACAGCACAACCTGATACTGATCCCACATCTGCTGATGTAAATACGCAACCTCAAGCAACTGCTGCTCCCCATGGCAGTGCAAGTTCATCTGCTCCTGTATCAGACAATGTTAATTCTGATATGCTAGATATGATGAATGAGGTTGAAGATCCATCTGATTACAGTAAAACAGAAGAACGAGATATAGAGATGGAAGATGAGCTCTCTGCAGATATAGCAAAAGCAGATGCCTTAGCGGATTACGACATTGACATTAATGTAGAAGGGGAAGCCATAACTGAGTACATCGCTTTAGTTGAGTCAGCAGATAGTTGTGGGAAGGCTGTTCCGTCCCAGTAAGAAGAAAATTATTTTAAAGAATAATGGTCAGTTTATGTAAATAGCAGGATGACATAGATAATGAATGTATTTCTGCCCTTAACTTTCAGGGCGCTTGTGTATATAGCGCAATGTGTAAATGTGTACTATGAATATGTGCTCACTCCTTGGAGTTCTAATGATATTAATTCCATTTAGTATTAGATACTTAAATTGCTTTTGAAATTTCCAAAAGTAATTCTCAAAAAGGTATGCCAGGCCAAAGTGCTCAACAGATTTGTCACCTATTGTTTCTAACGTACAACCTAATTAAGTTCAATACTTTATTTCGTGATTATATCGTGCATAAACTAGAGTTGTCCTCAACCATAGGACACTCCAACTAAGATGTCATTGTCTATCTAACAATTCATCCTAAAGGATGCCCTCGAATTTAAAAAAACTTGACCATATGCGCAGCAATTTACACTGTTTTCTCCTATGTAAAAAATAGGTATTCTTGTCTCAATCAACGGTTTAAACAAGTTATTTCGTAAAGTAAGCTTTTATTTTGTCTAAATGTTTGGATATATTCTGATAGGTCATTGCACACATTACGAAGGGAAAAACATGAAAGGAATTTTTTTTTACATAAATTCAAACATTTATTTAGTTCTATTCTAAAGAGAAAACCAAACACACGTTAAGACCTCTAGGAAGTAAGAATTTCTTCTTTCACACGTCCAAACAGGGGGTATTAGCTTCCCATGTAAAACAGCCATGTCAAAAATCACGAGTGACTCATTTATCGTGAAAGGTATACTCAGTGATATGATTCAGAGAAATCCCATTACTTCCTCTTGAATCGTCCATATTTGCATGCCCTACTAAAACGTAGAATGACCTTGTTCTTATTGATTTCGTCTTCCCGATTCATTGCATTTCATTTCCCCCCTAATTAACAACTTCACCTTGATTGTGTCGGATGCATTCAAAGCCGGTTCCCCTAAATAAACGTTATACATTCCTCAATTTCCTCACATAATACGTACTCTTCAAAATTGGATTTTTCAAGAATAATATTTGCATATAAATATGCAACCAAAATGTATGAAGAATATGTTAGCAAAGAATAATAATAATAGAAGTCCTGTTTCCAAATAATAATAACGCGAAGAATAAAACAAAAATCTTGCACAAGCTCCAAGAGCCTCGACAAGATGAACTTTACTTTTACTGGAGATATGATCTTTCGAAAGTTAGAAAGCACTATGTCTATCCACTGTTTGGAAAGCGGACTAGTAGAAAATACGTTTTTTTTTTACCTCTCTTTTGATACTGTAGAAAATACGTGCCAGCAACCTGACCTATTGCCTTTTTTCCCCATTCTCATTAACTCGTTGTGTATATTTACATCATTGTTCCGACTCTGAGTCATTAATTTCGGAATCTGTGATCATAACAATCTCCATATTTGTGTTTTCTTGTCTCACTTTACTATCCTCGTAATTCTTAGGAAGTGCATTACAGTCGATGGTGTGCCATACTGGTCTCTCCTCTTGGAACAATCTGTAGAAAAAAATAAATTGAATAAAACGTAAGTGATGAGACAAAAACTTCCAAGAAAGATGTGGAAAGAGAGATAGTGGACTTACGGGTGTTTGCATAGTGTGGGACAATGAATTGTGAGTGCATACTTGCAAGTGGAAATTTCCGTGATTGAACTAATCATTGCTCTTGGTTCCGAGCATACAAACCTCACCTGTAATAAAAATATGAAATCAGTATGATGAGGGAAGGAAGAAAAAGAGCTAGATTTCCGGGATTTCATACCTCAGTCTCTCTTGGCTTATTTGTGAGATCACATATGGTCCCATTAGTATATTGATGAGCATGATACCTGAATAAACGTAATATATTAAGTAAGTACATTTTTCATCATAGCATTCATGTGAAACCATTTCTCAAAGTGAAACCCATCTTCATAGATATGAAAGAGCCCCTCATAGAGGTACCTTTGAGATGCATCCTTTGAGCGGGGATCCTTCAATGTAGAAATGTCTGAAAGATTTTGGTTAAATGCAGCAGTAGCCTCTGGATCATACTCTCCCAAGACAAACTCCTGGACTACCTATGACAAAGAAAAATGTACACCGATTATTATATATGAATATATGATTTTTACAAGTCTCTAATAATAATAACACAAATCCACAACCATACATAAGAAAAAAAATGGTCTGAAAGTAAGATTTATATCAACAAGTGATTTCTATTATCCATAATCAATACAGGGATGGTAACAAGGAATTTGGATCCTTTCCTTTTACTCAGCAACAAGAGTGTCCCATTAGGAGAAAGAGATTTATGATTTTTCTTGTGGAGGAATCAAACTTGCTTTGAGTTGGGTTGCACCAATTTATACGAATACACTGTTTGTCTCTCTCATAACAGAACCATCTCCTATTAGTAAGTAAAAGGATAATAAGATTGAATCTGTACAGAAAATTTGGCGTCCAAAATTTTTAGAAATATGACGACAATATTGTTGATCAAACTGAACACCAACCCAACCCTCCAAAAAGAAAAGCCATGTTATATGACAGTTCAGTTAATGTAATTAACCTAACAAATCCATCACACTGGGCTATCAACCAGAGGATGGAGCAAAGAGAATTTTATGTAAAAGCAATGAAGAGCCAAAATTAAGCAATCAAGTGGATACCTTATCATCTTCCAAATGCAGTTGCCGCAACTTCTTTTGATAGCAAAATTCATATGACCACCAACCTTCTTGCTGCACAACAACAATAAAGGTAAGAAAATGATTTACAATAGATGCCAAATGTTTAAAAATTGAATAATAATTAACAAATCCACATTGAAAACAAGCGTGGAGTTTGAAATACTAACTCTGATAAAGCATGGACCCTTTAATACTTCTAGCAGTTCATCAGGTGTCTTCTGTTTAATCCTTTTCTCAGTTTCAACAATCATACTGCTAATATTGTGCTGGATAACAGGTTTTCCACTTTTCTCCTTTTCCACTTTAGGCAAGTAACATATAAATTTCTGTCCATTTTTGTCCGGCATGACAACAGATTCCTGATCATCATCCTGTAAATGAAGCACATCGCAAGTGCTCATCAGCAGGTGATAGGATAAAGATATATAAAATTGACTATCACTACATTTAAAGAAAGAAAACAGGATTCAGTTATGTCCAGAGATTTGAAAAAAAAAAAAAAAAAACAAATAAGGTCCAGCATGACCATCAGAAGGTCACTTCCATGAATTGCGAGTTATTGAGCTGTCAGTCTTTGCTATCAGTCAACAGTGGTTGAAAAACTACTTCAAGATTGTTTCTATTAGATTTTGAAAGAATTGGTATTGATATAATCGATGTTAAAAATAATTCGTTTGTATTTTGGAATGACATTTTAAAAGTGATATTAAAATTGATTTTTTTGGATGGTAAGGCAGAATCACCTTTGAACTCTGAATATAGATACATTTTAAACAATCTGTGGGTTCAAAAACCAAAATCAATTCTATTCACCTTGAAAGCTGAAATTATTCATTTCTCTCAAAATCAATTGTGAATATAGATACATATTTAAGACAAACTGTAAAAACCGAAATCAATCTGAATGTTCAAGAGACACAACACAGCACTTATCTTCGCAACATAACTCCAAGAAAATCTCCATAGCATTGTTACAAAACATTCAACTCTCATTTAAAGTGCAATTTAACAAGTGGAAAAGCACCCCGCAAAAGATCACAACCCATAATAACAATAACAATAACAATAATAATAATAATAACTGAAAAGCTTACAGGGTGAAAAGGGGAATCTTGGGGATGGAATTCGATCTTGTATTTAGGTCCGCGAGAGCTGCCACCGCCACCGCCACCGCCAAAAATGCTACCTGTTTACATAATTAAAAAAAAATAATAAAAAAATTTGGAAGAATAAAAAAGAAGAATTGAATTTGGAACCCTAAGAAAGAGAAGGGGATTACCGATATGAGCAGGGAAGATTTGTTTGGAGAAGGAAAGGGTGAAAGAGAAGAATATCAACACCAAAATCAATGCCTTCATCGTCTCCTTAAACCACTTACACAAACCCACCTTCAATGCTCAACTTCAACAAAAATTCACAAACATTGCACGCAAATCTCTCTGCTTCCACGTCTATTCACCAATCCAGCGTTGCCACGTCACACAAACCCCTCCCCTTTTATACATTCCTCTTTCTCTTCATTACAAACCTCCTTTCCACCTGTTCATTTTATAATTATTTTTTAGTTTAATTAGGGTCTATTACTGTTGATCATTGATCAGTTAACATATATTATACATGTGATTATATGATAATTTAAGTTAACTAAATTTTTTAATTATTGTGAAGTAGTTAAAATCATATTATATTTAAGATAATCTACTGTAGCATGTGATATTGTGATTCCTTCAAACCGAACTTAGTATCTTTTGTAATACAGCCTTAAATTTTATTTAGAAATTTGTAGCTTTTGAAATAAATTATAAAAATTATTCAAAATAATATTTAATTTGTTAAAGCTGTCCACTAATATATTTTTATCTTTATTATTAACATTTTAAACAATCCTAATTCACTTTTTTTATCAATTTATTAGATATAAATTATAAATTTTCGATTAACTCATAATTTTATTAACGAGAGTCATGATTTTGTTGTGGTTGAGGGCAGAGCAAGTTTTGGTGGAAACAAACAATGGAGTTTTTGGTTTAACAGTAATAGAAACGAAAGCCCAAAGGCCCAAAGGCCCAAAACAGAAATAACTTGTTTTGTGAAACACGTTCAACAGAAGAGTCCGTACGATGTTAACAAAAAGAGCGAAAGAACGGTGATAATATGATGATAGCTTTGCCTTTCTATGATGAACCTTATCTATAAATTTAAAAAAAAATAATTGTATTTCAATAATTATGACTTTATGAAGTCTTACAAGTTTGAAATGACACACCTTCTCATCTATTTAAATAAAAAATTTGTTGTTTCTATTATATTGTGCTTGAAAATGCTATTTTTTCCAAATATTTTGGTTATTTATACCTTCAATATTATTATGTATTAAGCACATAACATACATAAAAAAAATCCTTAAACTTTTGATTTTGTTAATAAAAATATTTTGCTAAAGGAGTTAAACGTTTATTTTACTGATCTTTATTGTTTAAAAGGAATTAGTTTTGCTTTTGTATTTGATTACAATTTTTTAAAATAAACATAAATTAAATGAAAAGGAAGAATTTTTTTTTAAATTTCTTTTATTAAAAGATAAGAAAGAATGGAGAAAAAGGTAAAGTCATGCGTATATTTCTATTAACCTTGACATTATTAATAAGTATTTTTAATTTTTTTTTATGAAATTGAATGAAAAGAAAACATAATTTTTTTTATTGAATGATACTTAAACAAGTTAAGTTATGTCTTTATGAAAGTGGTAAGAATATTAAAGGATAAGAAAGAATGACAAAAAAATAATAATTAAGAAATCAATTTAACACGTGAATTGTGCTATTCATGTTAGTGCAACTTAAGGTGATAAAAAAAAGCAGCAGCAAAATCTAACGTGACAATAAGTAATTAAAAGTTACCTTTATTAATTGTTTATTTATTTACTGTTTTGACTACTGTTGTTCGTATATTTGTTTTATTTTTTTCATATTCTTTTACCCTAACTTTTACCTTCATTTTTTGTCCCCAAGGATGATGAACTGTTTTTACAACTTTTTTCTTAGGACTGTAGAATCATTTCCTGATCCGTTTAAACATCGCCATTTACCTTTTCAAGTTCATTGAAAGCATACATCTTCATATACTTTACATGATTGCTAATGTCATTTTAATGGAAGATGGATTAAACTCAACCACAATTGTGATTCTGATTACGATGCTATAATAATATTGTGATTACATTTGCCCTTTTTCTTTTCCTTTGTTGACGTTGGATATGTGACAAATGGAGAATGAATGCCACTACATGATGTAATGTCTTTCTTTCTTTTTTTTAAATATTCATAACATGGCATAGACTGAGAATGAAAACATAATAATTAATAAAAAAAATTTGAAGGAAGAAACATACAATGATACACTTTGTGAGACACCAACTACCATGATTGACCCCTCATATATTGCCAAAAAAGAACAACAAAAACTAATTAACTGAAGGATTTGGCATATAGGTCAACGAATGTGTGCCACTTCTCATTAAGATTGTCCAAAATCAAAGATTCAGAATTATATTATTCATAAAATAATTTTTATGATATTATATTTTATTATATTAATCATTTTATCTTATTGTGTGTGTGTATATATATATATATCACTTTGTTTCTCTTTTTATTGTATAAATTTTTATAAAAATTGTACTTCAATGATTAATTGATTGGAGAATTCATATGACAAGACCACTCAATTCTTTAAAATTTGTTTTTGACAAGAATTCATAGAATTAAATAGAGAATGACAGAAAAAGAAGAATACCCCATCGATATTGCATTGGAATTTCTCGATTCAGACAACAAATTCAACATTATCTGATTTTCTCTTTTTCTTTTTTCTCCTTCTCTTTTGTGGCGTTCACGTCAAGGATGTCAAAAATCTAATGCTACTTTTCCAAAGGCATGAAGGAACAACATAAAATGGCTTGGTATTCATCCATTTCTCACATTTCAGACTTTCTTGCTCTGTCTTGGTGTCTGGATTTCCTTGCCAAAGTTTGAAGCTTTTCCCCATAATTTATCACCCAGATAAGTTTTCCTTTGTTTATCAAATTCTGGGTCTCTCTCTCTCTCTCTCTTCAATACCTTTTTGTGATGAAATCAGAGGAAAATTTCCTTCAGCTTCAAATCTGAGTTGGGTAGCCCTTGTCCCCTCTCTGAGTTAGGATTTGTATCACCAGAAACAAATCCTGATTTGGAGAGAAGGGTGTGTTTGTATCAAATGTGTTTAAATTCCTTGAATCCAAGCCATACGATAAGAGGACGAACACAGCTTATTCTTCAGTAATTCAACTATGAGGTTTTGAGCTTGTTTCCTGATAGCTGCTACTGTTCTATATATAAAGTTGGTATCTTGGTTGTGTTGTTCTTGTATCAATCCGACTGTTGTATCTGTTCCATCATTTTCTTCGCTTTTGAATTCTCTGCTATGTTCACAAATATGAATCTCTTTCCTACTGAATGGTCTTTTTGCTGGAGGGTTTCGTGTTTGGCTTTGGATTGTTTATCTTGTGTGTGCAATTGATTGGAAAATATAAAAAGAAAAACAATTTTTTTTCTTATATGGTTGAGTGAATTGAACTGTGAGTGTTGTGGACTTGGAGGAGTGGTATCGTTGATTAGTTTCTGTACTGTTAGATTGGTGGGATCAAAATGGGGAAGAAAAAGAAGCAAGTAGGAGAAACAAGTGAAGATAGAGGAAATCATAGTAAAGTTGAAGATAAAAGCCCCAAAGCATATGACAATGATACTTTGGTGTTTATATCTATGTCTCAAGACTTGAAGGATGAGGGGAACAAACTGTTCCAGAAGCGGGATCTCGAAGGAGCTTTGGTAAAATATGAGAAAGCCCTCAAATTGCTTCCAAGAAATCATATAGATGTGTCCTATTTGCGGAGTAATATGGCTGCTTGCTACATGCAGATGGGACTCAGTGAGTACCCTAGGGCAATCCATGAATGCAATTTGGCTCTTGACGTAACACCAAAATACAGTAAAGCTCTGCTGAAGAGGGCAAGGTGCTATGAGGCTTTAAATAGGCTGGATTTTGCACTGAGAGATGTGAGCACTGTTTTAAAGATGGAGCCAAATAATATCATGGCATTGGAGGTCTCAGATAAGGTAAAATGTGCACTTGAAGATAAAGGATTAAGAGTGAATGACACGGAAATTGAGTTGCCTCCAGATTATGTTGAACCTCCTAATGCTTTGCCTCCGAAAAAAGTAGAGAAAGAAAAGACACGGAAGAAGAAGAGCAACAGAGAGAAGGTGAAGGCTCCTGATAAAATTGAAGAAAAGCGAGCTGAGGAGAAATTGGAAGAGAAGAAAGACCAGGAAAGAATTGTAGAAAAGAAGGCCGAGGACAGTCAGAAAGAGAAGAAGGCTAACAAATCTAAAAAGAAGAAGGTCAAGGAAAAAATTGATGAGAAAAAGGATGATGTTAAGGAGGTCATTGAGGAAAAACCCAATGGTAGAAGTGAAGATATACCTAAGAAAGCAGCAAAACTTATTTTTGGTGAGGATATAAGATGGGCTGAATTGCCAGTTAATTGCACCCTCTTTCAGCTAAGAGAAGTTATTTGTGATCGCTTCCCAAGATTAGGAGCAGTTCTTGTCAAATATAGGGACCAAGAAGGTGATCTGATTACTATCACTTCTGATGAAGAATTAAGGTGGGCTGAAACAGGATCACAGGGTTCTATCCGGCTGTACATTGTAAAAGCTAATCCTGATCTTGATCCATTCTTTGAGAAACTTAATCTGAAGAACAGAGAAAAGGTTGGCATTGATAATGCTCCAGTGAATGGTTCCGTGGTGAAGACAAATGATATTATTAGCTCATCTTGCATAGAGGATTGGATAATTCAGTTTGCACAACTGTTCAAGAACCATGTTGGGTTTGAATCTGACCGGTATTTAGATTTTCATGAACTTGGGATGAAGCTCTATTCAGAGGCTGTGGAGGAGGCAGTTGCAAGTGAAGAAGCACAAGGCTTATTTGACATGGCTGGTGGTAAGTTCCAAGAGATGGCAGCTCTAGCATTGTTCAACTGGGGAAATGTGCATATGTCCAGGGCAAGAAAGAAAGTGTATTTAACTGATGATTCTTCTAAAGAGCATATGTTTGAACAAATAAAAAATTCATATGAATGGGCGCAGAAAGAATATGCAAAAGCTGGAGAAAAATATGAAGCAGCCATTAAAATTAAATCAGACTTTTATGAAGGCTTCCTGGCATTTGGCCAGCAGCAGTTCGAGCAAGCAAAACTTTCTTGGTATTATGCACTCTGTAATAACGTAGATTTAGCCACGTGGCCCTCCACTGAGGTTCTTCAGCTTTACAACAGTGCTGAGGATAATATGGAGAAAGGAATGCTGATATGGGAAGAATCAGGAGAGCAGCAGTTGAGTGAAGCCTCCAATTCCAAGGATATTAGATTTCATTTGCAGAACATGGGGTTGGATGGGCTATTAAAAAATATGTCATCAGATGAAATTGCTGCACAGGTGGCAAATATGAGGTCTCAAATAAATCTTCTGTGGGGTACCATGCTATATGAACGCTCAATAGTGGAGTTCAAATTAGGGCTACCGGTATGGCATGAATCTCTGGAAGTTGCAGCTGAGAAGTTTGAACTTGCTGGAGCTTCTCCAACAGATATAGCTGTAATGTTGAAGAACCACTGTTCAAATAACACTGCTGTAGATGGTACATTTTCTTGCTTAGTTAGAAAATTTGTAGCTGAATAGATATATATTCATATATACTAACACTTTTGCCAACAGGTCTTGGATTCAAAATTGATGAAATAGTACAGGCTTGGAATGAGATGTATGAAGCTAAAAAGTGGCAGAAAGGAGTTCCATCATTTCGTTTGGAGCCCTTGTTTAGAAGAAGAATATCAAAAATTTACCATGCCTTTGAGCTTGTATGAGTTGCATCTTTTTCTGCAAGTCGTTGAGGAATAACAGAGTCAACACACACGTAGGTTGCTTTGTGCCTGAAATGCTGTTGTCATCATAAGGTAGCTGAGAGTCCTAGACCACGCTGCTAACATTTTTGTTATTGCTTTTCTTTACCTAGTATTATTTATATCTATTTATTAATCTTCAAGATTTGTTCTCTTATATACCTTTCTGTAGAATGAGAGTAGAACATCAATTACTGGTGATTAAGCTTAATTGAGCTATTGATTAGTTGCTTGATGGATTGTGCAATTATACTATAAATAAGAAACCAGGTTGCTGCCAAGAAATTCACAATTTCTCTCAGACATCTGTTTTGGCAATTACTGTCTTCCTTTAATTCTAAATGTGCAATATGTAATAAAGGTTTTTTATAAAAGCATTGGGAGAACCACACCACACAAGTTAATTATTGTAGTTAGAGAGCCCAAAACTTTACAAAACATTAGATTCGCATACTTCCAATGTGGGACTCTTTGACCAATTGATAAGAACCCTAGAAAAACCGCACCACATAACCTAACTATTGTAGTTGGAGAGTTCAAAGCTTTACAAACTCATATTAGAATCTCATATTTCCAATATGGGACTCAGTCCCGTACCTTGCAATTGGATCCTAATAGTTTCATTACTCTTTTGCTTAACTACAATAATTTTTTGTGCAAATCCATTTTAAAACAAACAAGCTGCTCTCTCTCTCTCTCTCTCTCTCTCTATATATATATATATATATATATACACACAAGAGTTGTTCAATCATAGCAAGTACTTCAATATAAAATGTAAGTCTTTATGATTATTGGACTAATACGCATCCCATTTTATGTTAATAAATGATTTTAGATTGCTATATCTTACACCTCAGGAGAATTGAATGCTATTTGGCAGAACTACTTTTGCTAGAATAAAGCAGCATATAATATAAACTAACTTCTATTTGATCTAGGTTGTAAATTTATAGCACAGGGTCAATTCTATTATATAGATCTTTGAAAAGAAATCTTTCTAAGAACGGAATATTGAAATGAATCAATTGGACATGTATAACAGGCTGAATTAATGAAAATGGATTTATTTATGGAATGGTATCATGCCTTTGCTTCTTCAGTAGACATTGTCACTTTGAAGACTAGTTACAGAGATGATTGTTTCGAACATATATTGTTTGGTAGCAGCAATATATGTGTGCAATTGGAGGAGAAGGGAAGATGATTGCAACAAAATCCTATATCAGAAAGTTTCACTGTGATGAAGAACATTATTAATTTATGGACCTAATAATATGATATTAACTGCTTAATATTGTGATTTAATATTTAAAATTATACTTTAGAGGATTGATATTATCTTCTTAAATGGTGGTACTTGTACTTATACCATGAATATCTACAGTGGGGTCATGTAGTTCTCATAGTTCATTGCTCTGTTACCATAGAGATCAATCATGCGGGTTGTTTTATTGATATATTCTTAATTTTCTCTATTTTGGAATTGAAATCCCATGAATATTTGTGTACCATCTGCTGAAGTGATGTCAACAATTCTACTGCTAAACTGAATGTTTTGCCATGCAACCTTCACTTACGCCCATGATGGCAATTGGGCATTACAGCTTTGCTCATAAAATATTATAATTTTTTTATCATTTTTAATCATCACTGTTGGCCTATTCTGCAGGTTTCTTTGGCTACTTTCAAGAGTTTGGAGTCAATGTACTTATAGAAGAAACTTTTTCGCATTGCACGTATTCCTTTTAAGTTGGGAAGATGGAGGGTTGCAGGAATTACCTTTTAGTTACTTTCTGCCTTTGCTCAGATTTCCTTCCCCTTATGGTTAGATTTATAGTGGCTGGTAGGATATTAAATTTATACTGAAAGCAGTTTGAGAGATTTGTTGTTTGTTTTCCTGTTTCCCTTGTTCTGTAATTTATCCATTTGTAACTACTTGTTGAATTAGTGTTCTTACATGAGATTTCCTTGTACTAGTTTGTTTTTTTTATGGCTCCTTGTACTAGATTGTTGTGCTTACCGGTTGCTACACATTCTACTTTTTAAAATAAAAAAGAAAAGACATTTTAAAAAATTTTAAAGGATGAGTGGCGGATTTTAGTTGTCACACCTTCATAATTCACACGCATGCACAGGCTGATATAAATAAATGTAGCACGTGTTTAAAGTTTTAGTTTTTCTACAATATGACACAGGATGGATATTACAACTAGTATCTATTGGTATGTGCTCTTTTAATCTCCTAATGATCCTTAATTTTGTTTATTACACATTTCTGTAAAATCGTATGTATGAGAAGAAAATAATGCAGGAAAGTCATGGAGCAATCCAGCCATTATTTTGTTAGTTTGAATAATAATAGCATATAATACTCTCTGAGACAATACTAGGAGTCTTAAGTACTTCTTTTTATTACTTATCTTGCTTGGATGTAAACCATACAACAAAGTAAAAGTCACAAACTAAGTTACCACTAATTGAAATTAAGGGAGAGTTTAGATACAAAAATCTTACATTGATTGATTAACAAGTTAAAAAGTATATAAGTATTTTATTCATGGGTTTAATAGGTTAGTAAAAAGTTAAAAATATATAAACAAGAGACTCGTGGGTTTAAATTGTCAAAGTTTTTCTTCAAAATTTTTAAGACAATCAAATCTTCCACACTCAAATTGATACAACACTTAAATTCTAATAACATTGCCTGTCTTTTTAAATAAAATTTTAAAACATTTTTTTTTTTTTTTGCTTTTACTTACGCATGTTGCACGATTATGAATATCTTGGGTTTAAGAAAAGATTCTATCTTACCCAAAAAGTGAAAAAAAGGGGGAGGGGAGGGGGATTCTATCATATCTTTATAATCAATCTTTCTTCCTTCTTTTTTTTCTCTTTTCTTTTATGTTATTAGTCTTTTCTGGCTTTCATCAATTCTTTGATCTATAACTTCTTTTTATTCTTTTGTTTTCAACTTTTTCTCATTTAGGATTTTATGTATTCCTCTAACTTCAATATTATGTAGTTCTTTTTTTTCACCTTTGTTTGCAACATGAATGCATGTCTCCTAATATTTTTATTTAGAATTTTGTTGACATTGATGTTGTAAAGGATTTTAGCGATAATGTTACTATTATTATATGTTTTTAAAATGCCTCTTGACTCTTGCTTTATGTAATGGGGTCTAATTCATCAGACTTTTAGTAAGACTGATAATTAGTGTTACATTACTACTGCACTGCGAAGTTAGTATTGGTAGTCAATGTCATTAGCAAGTTGTTTAATTTCTATTCTTCTACACTCTTGAATTTTGAATTAGTTCTCTTATGGACACAATTTAGATGTAATATTTGAAGAGTTGATAATTCTTAATTAAAATTTTATTTAAATAATTCATATAATAATGGTTACTATAGAGTACTTTTTTTTTCTTTTTACATATTCTCTTTTATTTTAGGTGTAAGTGAACAATATGTAGTGTTTGAAATCTAAGATTGTTGAAACATAATTTGATGATTTTTCATTATGAATCATTGTGGAACATCCCTTTTTATTTTTTGTTCAGCTGTTGGACACTTGTATAATTAATGGTGCATGACTTGCCAAATTTAAGATGAGTAATGCAACTGTGGGACCAAAGAAGCACAAGAACAATGGTGTCTATCTCAATTAACATTGTCATCACTAAGCAGAAGCCCGGGGACGGCGTCTCCCCTCCAATCCAAGCTATTTTGATTTTGTTTGACCAAATCATGCTGTCAAAATCAACAATATGAGTGTATGATCTCTTTGTTATTTTATAAAATAAGTATTAAATAAAAATATTCATTTATTAGTATATTAAAAATATAAAACATATTAAATACTTTTCTAGAGAATTTGTAAGAATAAAGGTTATGTAAAATTTAGAATTGTTCTTCCTTGATTCCTTTTTTCTTTCCAACAAGTCTCTTTTTGTCTTATCCATTGGTTTTAAGCCAATGATATAGACTTTTTCCTGTGTCTGTCCCTTTAACTTGTTCATTCTGGAATGTGTGAGTAAAGACTCAGCTTGCCGTTACCTTCAAACTCAAACTATTGTTAAATAAATCGTCCTTTAACCGAGAAAATCAAGAAAATGTGGCCATGGGTCACACGACACTTGGAGTGTTGACTATACCATATTCAATCAACCTCCTGAATTCAATGAATTGAATTGATTCGAATTTTTTATTTTACACAAAATCGGCTCCAATTTATACCAGATTCATGAAATCTGAGGATGATACTGATTCACAAGCACACCAATAATGATTTATGCAAATTACTGTTGTTACAATTGTGGTGCAAACTACCTTTCAAATTATCAACAAATCAAATTTAGACATCACATCAAGAGCATGTTGTAGCATCTCTCTTACGTTGCATAAATGTAATATGTTGTTAATGGAGGATTGATGCAACCATCCATGAATTTGTGCCTGTTCTTTGATATTAAGGCCAATTTCATTGCTCAGATCCAAAAATGATAATCATGTCATTAAGGGAAGGAGACAGATGGATTTTCATAAGTATAAAGATAAAGTAGATTTAAGAGATTGGTGAGAATATTACAATAAGAATTATAGTTTTTCATTGCTCATATATATATATATATATATATATAAAACTAATGAACAAGAAAGAAAGATTTAAAAGAGAAGTTGTAAATTTTTTAAGGATCAAGAAGGTATTTCTAGTTTAGTAACCACAAAACTGTTTCACCAAAGCTTATAATTCTCAAGTGGAAAAAAAATGTAAAAATATTTACTATATATAAAAATACAAAGCACAAATGAAAGTTAAAAAAAAAACACTTAACTTTAAAAAAATGTTAAAAGAAGATATAGTAAACTGATCACCTACATGTCAATTAACTAATTTAAGTTAAGTGGTGAGATAAGCTATGTATGGTAAGATATTACAAGATAATAAGTAAAAGAAGTTTCTACTAATATAAAATGTCACATGGTAATACTATAATTATTTTATATTTTAATTAAAAAATATATTTTTATTTATTTGTCATCAACCATAATTCTAACATTTTACTATTTTTTTAATGCCGGTTACCTTTATTAAATATTTGAACCGAAATGTATTTTTCAATTAGTCAATAGTTTAATCAGTGAAGGATGCTAATTATATTTATTATTTATTGAATCAATCATGAAAAAAAGGGAGTAAATAATTTAATATATGACTTCTTGAATTATAATTAAATCAATTATAATTAAGTAAATGATTTAATAAATTTTGCATAATTAGTTAAACATTTGAAAAAAAAAATAATCCACCAATATAATGTATTACATAAAACAAGATCCTGTCTACTTTATAAAAAAATCAATTATATTATATTCATTAGAATTGTAATTTATATAATTAAAGCAATTAAGAGAATCGAGTAATTAATATAAATTTTTAGGTTTTGACAATCATAAATGTCTTATAAGAGGCAATTTTATTAAGTAATGAACATTCACAATTTCGTAAAATTATCTCTTCTAATTTTTTTTTGGAAAAGTTTAAATTTTTAAAGCTTTGTTTAAGCAAAACCAAACATATATTTTTTAAATCAATTACATACCTAGACATTGCCTAATAAAGTTATAATATATCACAAAATCAAGGGAATCAATGACATTAGTAAACTATGGGCAATTAAAGATGAAAACAATCTAATATTTGCTAATGTAAAGCATTTAATGCAACTAAGGTAATTAATACGGAGTGAAATCTAATATAATCTTTTAATCTGATTATTTAGAAAAGGTTTCAACGCATTAAGTGTCCATACTACGCGTTGTTTTCCTAATCATTTTTTTTTTTCAGAAGTTAAGTTAAAATATATTTTGAATTTTGAATGTCTATACTTAAAGCAATCAAGTAACTAATACGTCTAGACCAAAAACATCAAGTAATTAAGGGTGTGTTGAAAATAGTTTATGGAGAGTATGATTTCTATGTAAACCTTTTTTACCTTGTGTGAATAAATTTTTTTATTATAATTTATTAAAAAATTTTAATTTATTCTAATGATTTTATGATTACATTTGTATAATAAATTCTCATAAAAAAGATTAAATAAAAGTTTAATTATACTACTTATTCAACGCCGTATGTGCTAATTAATGAGCCTTTTATAAAAAATCTAAATAACAAAAAATATATTGATTCTACGGTAAATATTAATTTAAGGACATTATTTTCTCAATATAAATCTTTTGAAAACAAATAACACAGATTGAATTTACTAAAATATTAATTATGAGATATATTAGTCAATCAAAGATATCACATTATAAAAACTGAAAAATTTCGATTCCAACTTACTAGAAACATGGATAAATATTTAATATATATAGATTATATATCCTGCATTCTAAAATCTAACTATTTCATAGTATACTACTGCAGGGGTTGCCCAATTCTTATAAATTCAATTCCTATTAAACTTCAATATTGTTTCTTCATTGAATCAACCATTGTTGAAGGTAAGACACCTTGAAAAATTAGCTCTCAATTTAATTTTAATATTCTTACATTTAAGTTGCTGTTTATTCCTCTTCGTTTTTATATGTTGTTTCTTCATATTTTTGTCATCTAAATTAGCTTGTTTGAAATTTTTGCTTCCTTTATTTGAAAGATGAATTCTTCAAAACATCTTTTTTGTTGCATATCCCTTGGGCATGGCCATGTCCGACTCCCTTTCTTTCTCCCTTCACGTCAAGTATAATTCTTTGTACGTCTTTGTGCTTCATTCAAAGATCATATATATACAATTATTTATAATACAATAGTGACATATTGGTGTTTCCCATATTCTTTGAATATATTAGGCCTCATAAATCATGATCTCTTTAGTTTTCATTGGTTCTTTATGCTATACTCTCATGGGCCAAAAAAATTCCAATTTTTTAATTGATTAATTTCAATATAAGAGTTGAGTAATTAAGGACATAGATTGATGTGAAAAGAAAAGATAGAATGAGATAATTAAGGAGTTAAGATGGATTTTTTTTAGATACAAGAGTCATTTATATTTATATTAGTTATTATTATTGAATTTTTGTGTTGTATATTTAATTATATATTAAGGGACTAAGTTTCATTCTATATATTGTCAAATATTGTAGAAAATGGGTCGTGCAAGAATAACCTTGAAACGGATCCCAAAGGAGAGAACTCGCAAGCTAACTTTCAAGCAGAGAAGCAAAGGACTAATGAAGAAAATCGCTGAATTTTCAACCATGTGTGGAGCTGAAGCTTGCTTCATTGTGTATGATGGTAATGGTAATGTTGAACCAATGACTTGGCCTGAAGACTCCAGAGTAGTACATTCCATCATTGAAAAGTATGAGAATCAAAAGAATGAGAGACCTCCTAAGACCTTCAATATTGAAGACTTTTTTGAGAATAGAAAGAACATGGTTGAAGCTGAAATTTCTAGGGTGCAAAAAGAGATCTCTAAGATCAAGTATCCAACTTGGGATAAAAGTTATAGTAAGCTGGGTGAGGAGCAATTAAAGGCCTTCATTGCTATGTTGGATGCTAAGATTGGAGCATGTGATCATAGAATTAACATGTTCAAAAATATGCATCAAAGTGAAGCCAACTTCAATTTCATTCAAAATATGGTTCATGAGGGTGCTACCTCCTCCCATGCAAGCCAACTCAATTTCATGCAAAATGTCTCTCAAAGCCAACGCATCCCTATTCCTTTGAGTCAAATCAATGATAATAATGGGATGGCAAATTTTACTAATTCAACAAATCAGGTTGATGAGGCTTACTTTCATAGAACTAACATGTTGGCAAACTTGCAACAGGGTGACGCTTATTTTAATTTCATGCCAAACATGGCTCAAGTAAGTGGTGCCCCCTCACATGGAAGCCAGCTCAATTTCATGCAGAACATCTCTGAGACCCAACACAACTTTGAAAGTTTGAGGCCACAAGATGATAATAATGGGATGGTAAATTTTACCAATCCAGTTGACATGCCTCAAGATTCAACTAATCAACTCGGTGAGTCTAATACAAACTTTGCTAATCATTTGGGAGAATTTGAGCGTTGGGTTGATGAACCTACTGAGATTGAGGAGTGGATTAATCAACTAGGTGGTGATCTTGTGGACACAGTGAGTCAACTTGATGAATCTGTTTTGCAGAATACTCGTGTTCAATCACAAAATGACCGTAATTGAGTAGCTTTGTATGCCTTCCCATTTTTTCTTGTGTTATTATTAGTAGCTTTATAGAATACATGATTTTATTAATTTAATTATTAAGTTACAATTGTACATTACCTTAATTATTTATTTTAATTTTTGTCAAAATTAAATGGTTACAACAAGTTTTTTTTTTTTAAATTTAAATAACATGTATCCCATACAATAGCTAATCCTATTTTAGCTAAACATGATAAAGAACTATTTGATTATATTCTTATTATAAAATTATAATCATATAGTTGTTATTTTTATATATTTTAAAAGTATATATAATTAAAAATAATTGATGTCAATAAAGTATTAAATAATGTCAAATTAATAAAATTTTTAAAAAAATAATAAGTAAAAAATTAATATAATGTTAGGTTTTGTGATATAATTATTCGGTATAAAAAGTAATAATGTTAAGACATATGTGTAACTATGCAACAATACATGATAAAAATACTTGTGCAAAGAGAAAGATTAATTAAGGTAGTACTTGTTCAGGAGAAAATGATAAAAAATTAATTAAGATGATTTAAATGTGTAAGAAAACTTTTAGAAGTAATTGTGAAACCTGAAGAGAGTTGAAAAATAGTAAAACATAACAAAAAGTAACTATGAAAGAAATTATTAAAAGAAATCTTACAATAAATAATTTTTTAAAAAAATAATTCAAAATTCAAATTAATACCAAATTGAAAAAAAAAATATAAATGCTTAATGCAGAAGAAGTCACATGACATCGTAAGGGAGAAAATAATTATTTTTTTAAAATACTCTCATCAAAACAACTCCTCAAAATATTTTAGTTTTAAGAATGATGAGTCATTTATAATCTATAATATATACATTATACTACATGGATATTATTAATTTATAATAATTTTTTTATTTAAAAATAATACATATTTTATCGTATTAAATAAAACTAATTAAAAACTAATAGAATATCAAATGCTAAATATGTTTGTATATTTTCACTTTGAAGAGTTAATGTAAGTGAAACAAAAAATTGAGTTCACTAAAAAATAATAATCTGTTCTTACATAAAATAGTAAATTTATATATTATTTTTAAGAGTTAATATAGACAAATATATAACAGAGGTTGATTCAATGTTAATTTTAATTTTTGAATTTTAAATTTAGTAACTTCTTCTTAATTTTAAAAAATGTATCTTCTTAATTTAATACTATTTAAGTAATAATTATTTATTAGTAGTAGTAAAAATATTTACTATTTTCTAAATTTATTAAATTTTATAAATTCATATAATAAATTTGATTTAATAATATTTATGTAGTACATAAAAACCTCACTGATACAAAATTCTATGTGTGTATATTATAAATATATATAAATTATTAATTATTAAAAAGTTCAATTAAAGTAATAGTCACGGTAAAATGTATATTTTTTTATTAAAAAGTAATTCAACAATTATATATGATAAATTTAAAAATTGTAAAATAAAATACTTATATATCATGAAGTTTTGTTTGATAAGAAAAAACAGTACTATGGGATAAAAAAAAGTATTATGATTCTACAATATACGATAATATGTTTTTAATATAAAATAAAAAAGTTCAATAATTAATAATTTAAGATTTTTATAGTTATGTATGACAATCTACTGCTAGTATTTGAATCAAAAGTAAAATAAAAAAAGTAAAATATTTTAAAATTTAAATTAATATTAAAATAAAAAATAAACATACAATACAGTAAAAATCACTTGAAATGGGAAAAAATAATTTTTAAAAACGTTTTCATTTGATAATATTTTCATAGATAATCTTATATATATTTTTAAATCATTAAATTAAAATTATACAAAGAAAACAAATCTTAAACTAATCTTTAATTAGAAGAATAAAATTGCTGAAACTTGTATTTGAAGAATACTCGAAGCAGAGAAAATGTTATCCATTAAAACAAATCCAAGACAACAGAGCTTCGTGGCTGGGAAACAGCCAACGATGCTTCCACTGTCAATAATATCCCCTCCCACCCATCTCTGTTTCCAATCATCATCACCCAGCAACCCTCCATCATCCCTTAAGCCAAATCTCTTATATATACTACTATCTCACAATTAAAAATTATCGTTTAATTATTAAAAAAACAACATGATAGTGTATAATAATATCTCAAAATACTCACAAGTATTGATATCAAACTATTTTATTTATGTTAATAATGCATACCCTTTTTTCATAATATAATGCATACCCTTTAAATTCATTATTAAATATACTTCAATATATGTAAGTGGAGTGGCAACTACTGCAAAGAAATTGGAATAATTAGAGTTACTATGACTAAGATTGCATCTAATTAGGAGTCAATTTCATCTTTAACCCCTTTCTATTCCCAAATTGATTGCAAGTTTAGCTTAGGCAACACTCAGAGAGAGCAAATGGGTGTGTATATTTTTCATCAAACAAGTAGTGAATACGTTGTTTTCGCTTGGGCCTTAAAAGCTAAAATGGCAGTGCCTTACCTTGTCCACAAACCAACCATATCTATCCGTTCCTTCAGGAAAGCATACTCTTACCCTACCACCAACCAACATCACGTTATTCTAAAGCTTCATTGATTCTTCACATGCCCCAAAAAAGTGCTCTTTGATTCTTATTGAATTTCAAAACTTTATTTATAGGGAAAAAAATTATTAAAGTTGTTAAGTAGGACTTTTGAGGCATTAGTAAAGGAACTCTAAATAAACTTTACTGAGCAAATTTTATCTTGGTCTCTTGCATAACTTATTATATTATCAGAAAAAGATATTAAAATTTTCCATAACATCACAATAATATATTACAATTAATGATAATGAAACTCATTTATGAAAATTATGAGTAATTAATGTAACAACAAAGGCTTTTCATAAGTAGGTGAGATATATTAGATAGATCAAAGCATATGTCCTATCTAAATCATATTTATTTATGGCAAATCATTTAAACTTAAAAATAACTTTAATTGCTTGAGTTTTGACTTTTTTTTCCCCTTACCTTTAATTATTAGAACTGATCTTATTAAAATTATTACCAATCTTCTCCATACATATCTAAATCATTTAAGACAATTTTTACCCTTTTCCCTAATAAGTGTTACTTTTCCTTTCTTCTTAATGTATTTATCTGTAATCGTGCATTTCTTGCGAATTCACTCTTCTGTTATACCATTTATATGTGCAACATTAAGCTATTAATAGAAATGAATAGCGCCAAATTTTGGAAGTCACTTAATTATATAGTCACATAATGACTATATATATATATATATATATATATATATATATATATATATATATATATATATATACATACATGTCTTTTTAAACTGATTTACTTTGTGGAGAGCCACGATATATATATGTGCCAAATCTTTGGGCATGCCATATACACATATATCAACTGTCTTTGCAGAAAACAATTGTAAAGACAAACCTTAGCAGCAAAGAAAAATTGGTGTTATTAAATTACCATTCTTCATTACACTTCACTGTCACTGCAGCACGTGACTCTGCAGTTAAAGCCTTCTTAACTCTCCACTTCCATGGTTTCATCAACTCCCCTTGATGCATGAACACTTAAAGATCTTGAATTTGGCTGATTCTGGAAATGGGTTCTCGGATTCAGCTTCTGGGCATGTGTCTATGCTTGCACTTGGCAAGCTTTAGCTCCTCCTATGTGAACTCACTGAATGAAAGTGGAGATGAAGCTGTAAAAGGGAGTGTCATCATTGATGGCAAATCTGTGATTGGAAATATTGATGATGATTTTGTGTGTGCAACTTTGGATTGGTGGCCTCCAGAGAAATGTGACTATGGGAGATGCAGTTGGGGTCATGCTTCTCTTCTCAATCTGGTATTGTTGTTTTCTTTTTGCTTTTTATTTTCTCAAATGGCTTTTTTGGAATCTGGAAGGTAGGTTTCAGAATGTCCTACTCATGCTTTTTATTCTAACACAACAATAAATAAAGTTTTTTTCTTTGCTGCTTTCTTTTTGTAGTCTATTATCATTCTCTGTTTAAATGTTTAATGATTTTTTTTTTCGTTTTGCCGTTTTGGGAATGATGTTTTGAATCTAGAATGTATGTTCGGGATCTCTTTGATTTGGTGCAAAATAATTCCTAAAAAGTATAATTATTTTATTTTATTTTTTAAAATGATGTATGTGCTTATCTACTCATTGTTTGTGGAGCACAAGGTGATAATATTCTCACCTCATTACGATGAGATAATATCATATACTTTTTTTCTTTTATTTAATAATCCTTGGTCATTATCTTCTTCACATTCATTCTGTTTTCCGTAAGGTTTATTGAAATTCACTTCGGAGTTGAGGTTTTAGTCTTCAATCCTTATTTTCACAAGCGTCCGTTTAACCACCTTCAAAATCTTACATAGTTTGTTCACATATAGTTTTGTTACATCTTTCATCATTCATCTCTTGCAGGACCTCAACAACAAGATTTTGTTAAATGCAGTTAAGGGTAAGAGATAATTAAATTTACATCTATATCAATATTGTCATCAAAATGGCAGGGATTAAATCGTTTCATAACATTTTAATTTATTAGACGATTGCTTTGATCTTTGGAAGCTTATAAAGGTATTGTTGGTTCTGAATGTTTTGCAGGCTTTTCACCTTTGAAACTTAGATTAGGTGGCAGTTTGCAAGATAAGCTAATATATGGCACTGAAGATAACCACCAACCATGCACTCCTTTTGTTAAGAACCCTTCTGAAATGTTTGATTTCACGCAAGGGTGCCTCCCAATGAATAGATGGGATGAACTCAACTACTTTTTCCAAAAAGCTGGGTAAGATTCAGTTCTTCCTGTAGTGTTTTGTGTGTGTGTGTATGTGGAGTCTAAACAGATTCACCTTGTTGACTTGAAAACTATGCATTTCATGTGTTAACGTTATTAAATGGTTTATTTCAGGGCTAAGATTATCTTTGGATTAAATGCTCTTAATGGAAAATCAATTCACTCTGGTTCTGCAAAAGGACCTTGGAACTACACCAATGCTGAATCCTTTATTCGATACACGGTTGGAAAGAAATTCACCATTCATGGATGGGAACTTGGTATGCATATGCTGCTCTTATTACCCAAAGTATTAAGTGCATGCTTGGTTCAGCTTATTTTGAAAAAATAATCACTTATTTTCGCTAACTTCTTGAGACTGCTTTAAAAAAAATAAGCGATAATTTCTTCAAAATAATCATTTCCAAACACACTATTTTCTACCACACAATTGAGACTAAAATAGAAAATATTGATCTTTGTAAAAAAGCTCACAAATATTGTCATTGATGTCAATAGATTCGTTTATCCAATATCGTATTTTTAAGGAAGAAAAATGCGCAATTTCCCTCTAGAATAACTATTCTGTTCTACATCACAGGTCTTAACATAGTTTTGAATTTATGTGGCTAACTACCGTGAACTCTTTTCACTGGTAGGCAACGAATTAAGTGGGAATGGAGTTGGAACAAGTGTTGCTGCAGACCAATATGCTTCTGATCTTGCTGCTTTACGAGACATAGTTTACAACGCATATACAGAGATTGACCCTAAGCCACTAGTCATTGCACCTGGAGGTTTCTTTGATGCAACTTGGTTCAAGGAATTTATAAGCAAAACTGGAAAATCTTTGGATGTGGTCTCCCACCACATTTATAACCTTGGACCAGGTAACTTTCTCTTAACAAGCTAATATACATTATGTTTTCCCAATTTCCATGAACATGATTATATTTGAAGGCTAAATTATCTTAATATACAGGAGTTGATGAGCACCTTGTGGAAAAAATTCTCAATCCTTCGTATCTTGATAAAGAGGCAAGCACATTCAAAGGCCTCAAAAATATACTTGAAAGTACAGGAACCTCAGCAACAGCATGGGTTGGTGAGTCAGGAGGGGCTTACAATAGTGGACGTCATCTTGTGTCTGATGCATTTGTGTACAGTTTCTGGTTAGTGGTGACTCCCCTTGATTTAGATACCATTAGGGGTTCCTTAGAATTGTTTTGGCATATGTTATCATTTCTCGAACAGGTACTTGGATCAGCTTGGCATGTCAGCTGCTTACGACACAAAAACATACTGCAGACAGAGTTTTATAGGAGGAAACTATGGTTTACTTAACACTACCAATTTCCTGCCAAATCCGGACTACTATAGGTAATAACTACTGAATTTCATAGTCATATTTTCTTTGGTCAAGTCATGAGATGGAAAAAAAAAATATCATAAAAACTCCATGTTGAGGAATGAGAAGCAAAATTAGACCCACATGTGCATATTTTATTTCATTAATGTCTCATTCTTTAGCTGATATGAATACGCATGTGCCATTGCTTCATTAATTGCTTGACCAACAATTTTGGCTAATTGGGAAAGGAACCCTTTTCCAATAATACAATTAGGAGACCCCATTTCAGGTAGATCCACAGTATTTGTGGTAATTTTCTGTTTTCTTTGTAGTGCTCTCCTTTGGCACCGACTCATGGGAAGACACGTACTATCAACTACCTTCTCTGGGACAAACAAGATAAGAGCTTATGCACACTGTGCAAAACAATCTGTGAGTGCAACTTTTATCATTAACTAGTGCACACACAGACACACTATCCGTGGATTCTGATTTAATATTCTATCTTACAGAAAGGAATCACTGTATTATTGATCAACCTGGACAACAACACAACTGTTGAAGCTGAAGTGACCTTCAGCAACAATAAGAGTTTGAGGCACAGAAAGATGTCTGATAATTTAAAAACGATGGAAGTATCTCTCTATAGTGGGAGTGAAACAGCAAGAGAAGAGTACCATCTAACACCACAGGATGGGAATATACATAGCCAAGTCATGGTACTAAATGGAAACGCTCTGAGTGTAAACTCAGATGGTGAAATTCCTTCTTTGGAGCCTCTACAAGTCAACTCATCAGAGCCAATAAGGGTTGCTTCTTTCTCTATTGTATTTGCCCATTTACCAGATGCTGCTGTTGCAGCTTGCAGCTAGCTAGGTGGCTCCAAGGGAAACCAAAAATTGGTTTCACTTGCTGATTGAGCAAATTACACGAAAAATAAGCTAGTTTTAATTTATTGTGAAAGAACAGAATACCAATTTTTATTGTTCCCAATGTATACCATTAAGTTCGTTGTGATGACAATTTGAAAGTGACATATTCAATTTCTCACCATCATTTGAGTCAACCCCTCTTGTATATCATGATTGATTGCTTTTATATCTGTGAATCAAAAATAAAAAACTTGAAATTACCCAATATTTAGGCCAACGCAGGTTGGCATAAAATAGTCAAGGACTGTGCGAAACACGTTGTGTTGTCTTTCTCATAGCATCATAGGTTCAAACCCTCCAACCCCTTTAAAGTCATCCAAAATCTCATTTGGTAGACATGAGATTCACTATGTTGCATGAATACGGTACCATACCTAAAGCTAGTATAGATACTAGGTACAAGCACCATTGATTAAATAAATGCTTTAAAAATATAAATTTTGTTAATTTCAACCTTAGGCTAATAATATTTTTTTTTGTATTTTTGTAACTTTAATACAATAAATATCTATTTTTTTCATTAAAAAAATTATATTTATAGATGTTTAATTTTAGCTTTAAGGGGTAAGATTAACAAAATTTAATTTATGGGACAATTTTGTATTCAACTTATATCGCAGACAGAGCTAGTTTTGTATACTGGGATGAAAAAAAATAATTGCTTTTATTGAGATTGATGCAGTAGATGTAGATGTAACAAAATGCATAGGATGATGAGTATTATTGGCACTCTATTGTATTGGTTTTTCTCACTCGTTAGACAACACTAATTCTAGATGTGCCACATGGCATTTTCTATTTGCTTGTTTTTTATTTTTTGGAGCATGTTTAACCCATTAAAGAGAGAAAATGGTGTCATTTGTAAATATAAAAAATTTTCATTCATTCTAATTACAAACTGTTTTTTTAATTTTTTTTTAAAAAATTGTATCTTTTTGCCCCTAACATGTGTAAAATGTACTGCACACATGTCCCAAACCACCCCAAATCAGTAAATTATTTTTTGTTTTTTTAATAAATAGTTTTTTTTAAAAAATGTTTGTCAAAAAACCTAAGAACTAGCATAGTTAGTTAGTGGACCTATGTGAGTGAAAAGAAAGAGGTACAAAGTACAAAATCTTCTTTAGCCATGACTTTTTTCCAACCCATTTCAATAAATTTTAAACATTATCACTTACTATCTTTTAGGTGTTGTTACCATTTCTCTTTTAAGTAACGTTTGTTGCTGTTTATTACTCAAACTTATGTTGGTTAAGTTGATTCAAGAAGCTTAACTAGTTTTTGTGGTCGTTTAAGAGGAAGGGGGTAACCGTTGACATGATTCACTACTTGGTTATGGTGAGTTGAGAATAACTGAGGTGGAAGCAAGTAGTAGTTTGCTTTATTCTTTGGGTAGTTCTTTTGTTTTCTAGATTAAACGTGAGTTCTAAATTGTTTAGGGGTTAATACTTCATGACATTATAATAAGGAGAAAGAATGTTTATTTGTGGCGATTTCATTTGACTAGGCCTAACATTATGAAAGTTTAATGGCACTGGAGGAGGGGAAGTTATGATTTGGTTTTAAATTGAAGCTAGAAGACGAGTTAAAGAAGAAAACAATATACACAAGGCACAAAAAACATCTATCACACACAATTTTCACTCATGATGAGATATGAAAGGACTAATGTAAATCTCAATTATAATTCATATGTTTAATGGTAAATCAGTATAATATATTGTTAAATAATATAAAGAAAGATGATGCTAATAAGTATTATGACCCATAGTAAATAAATAAATAATTCTTTAATTAAAAATTGAAGTAGATCAAGATTTTTAGGGTAAGAATTTTATATATTTTTTATTTAATATTTTAAAGACAGTTATTGTTATTCTTTATAAAAATATTAAAAATTACTTATTTGACAATTTTTTGTTTGTTTGTCTTAAATAAAAAAAAATAGAAAAAAAAAAACTTATAATTTATAGCTTACAATTTATTGCCATAGAAGGTCACCCATGAAAGATAACTCCCGTGGTAGGGGCTAAGTTAATTTGGGTAAACTAACAGAAACATGAAAAATGAAAAATGAAAAATGAAACATGAAAGATGAAAGAAGAAAGATGAAGTAGGTGGATTTTGACGAGAGAACAAAACGAAACCGAGATAGACGAAGAGATTCCCCAGTGGAATCCAACGCGGTTGCCGGGTTGGGTTTATTTCCTTTCTTCGTTTCTCTGCTCTTGTGCGTGCGCGGGTACATCACTTCCCTCTCTGCAAGCCAAGAATATATACTCATTCCTCTCTTTCTCTCTCCGTTACCTATTTCTTCCTTTGCTTCTCTTTCGCTCCGCTCCAAGATCTACACCATATTCCAGGTAATGCATACTTTCTTCCTTCTTAAGATTTCAATTTTGCCATGAAATTTTCCTTCCTGTTAACACCGTAATTGTAGATATCCTGTGAGGACTTTTCCCTTTTCCTCTTTTTTTTATAATTGTTTTTACTGTGGATCGTGATAATTGTTGTAATTTAGTTCAGTTAGAAATTAGGAAGCTATGGTTTTTGGAATTAATTATCTGTATTATAAGAATACGAGGCTTAGTTTGTTGCATGAATAACAATTAAATGGCGACGTATGATTGAGAGCGGGGATTACTTGGGATTCGTCTGTTAAGTATAGAATCAGCAGTTTGAGTTTCTCTATTTTTTGTTTACTTTGCTATTTCTTACACGAACCTAGTGTTGAACAGTTATGGAAATTCTCTTCGCTTGTTGAGGTTATTGCTCTTGCAAAAGCAATTTTGTTCCCGTTGTTTCGTAATCATTCAGGGTGTGTTTGAAAGTTGGGTTTTGTAGGAGAAGGGAAGGGGGGATTTTTTTTTTTTTAATAAATATTCTCTAATTTCATAATTTTTCTTAATTATCTGTTACCTCTAGCAATAGGGTTGCTCTCTATTTGATCTACCCTACTAACTATGGCTTCTGCGGTTCTTCTCCCACATGTCCAACAACCTAGACTAAGAATCTACCCTTTTTTTCACAGTATAGGTACTACCCTAACTTTCTCTCTAATGCATTCATTCCTAAATAAACCTATCTTATCTGTTATGTCCAATCATCTAACGCATTATTCTCATTTTTGCTACCTTGAGTTTTTTCTCTTGTTGGTTTTTTACTTCCAAACACTTAGTTCCTTACAGCATTGAAAATTGGACCAAAGTTATTATTATAGATTAACTTGTATTGTTTTGCTGTTTTTCAATTACTAAAGTCATGCTATGGTGTAAGCTAACTAAACTGACAATAGGAATTGATGGGTAACTATTTAATCCACAATGCAGTGGTGGGTAAATGCAACTGCTGGTGAAAATTGGTAGTTCATTTGTGGAGTGATACCTCTGGAACTTGGGAAACTGTGGTAATGGATCTCGATGGGGGGAGTTCATCATCAGTTAGCACAGGAGTGCCGGCAATTTCAGGACGCCCAACACGACATGGTGGTGAGTTTTATTTACTTGCTTTCTTGGCAGGTTTTCAACAATTTCTGCTGGCTTAGGTTTCTAGATGTTTGGGTATAGCATTGATGGATTTTCTGATAGATGATTTTATATTCATATGCTGTAATTGTATAATGAATGAATCACTTCTTTCTTCCCTGTATGCCTTGTATTAAACTGGATACTTGACAGGGTTATGTCTTGATAGTTCAGATTACCGGAGGTTCCTTACTTCAATTGGATGCTGTTGAATGATTCTTTTTCATTTTTAATTTTACCTCAACTAGAATCATGATACAAGAATGAAATTGTAAATTATTTCACAACTAGTATAGATTATCAAAATATCGATATTAGTTATCACTGTCAGCTGTTACAAAGGAATGAGGATTTTGTATTTAGTTGTTCTACTTATCAAATGCATACATTTTGACTTTGATGCTGTTCCAAGCTCAGTTGTAGTAGATGTGGCAGAAAAAATGTTTTCATTGATTCACTTTTTAAAAGTAGTTTTATAGTAATTTATTTCTGTACTTCAAAAAATTTCACATTTCTTATTTTTCAAAATATGCTGCAACCTAACTTATTATCTTTTATATTATCACATTGTAGTGACCTAATACATAAGGAACTTGGCAATCGGTTTTTGCAGACATATCTGGTTTCAATGCATTTTATACATTTCTGAATTTTTCTCCTCTGCTTGAAAATTGACTTTGTATTGGAAATAAATAAATTTTTTTATGATGTTTGGCCTTTATTTAGACTATAAAGTAGTCAGAAGTGTGCAATAGAATGAAAATATATTCCATGTTTCTTCTTTAGACAAGTCTCTTCGTATTGAACTTTTATTTCTTTTTCCCTTATACTTTTCTTAATGAATCTTGTACTGAGTACTATTGTGGTGGTTTTGCAGTATGCTATCAGTTTAAACAGCAGAACCTTCCAGCATGTAAACCTGTCCTTACTCCTGCAGTAGTTAGTTCTTTGACAATCTTGAATATTCATGATACCTTATTCTATGAAATGTACATGCTAAATCTCAACAATGTTTTGTGCAGGTCATTGCTACATTTCTATTGATGGGTTTCATTTTCATTCCTGTTGGACTTGTTACACTTAATGCCTCAAATAGTGTATGAACAATTTCTACTTGCTTTATTTTATTCAGTGAATCCTTTTCCTTTCTCCCTTGAAAATATGTATGCTTTCTTCAATATTTGTTGACCCATGGATTTGTAGGTTGTTGAAATTGTGGATAGGTATGACATTGATTGTGTACCTGAAGAATTTAGAAGCAACAAGGTTGCATATATCAAAGATGACTCAATCTCCAAAAACTGTTCGCGATTCTTGAAGGTGATAATTCAATTTTGAATTAATTACATCATTTATTTATTATCACTTCAGGGTTCAGTAATGTATGATAAAATACATCAGTGGCAATTCCTTAATTTTCCTTTTGAATGAGTGGTTGGTTTCCTCTTAACATCTTTGGAAGTTCCCACAGGATTCACTAGTAGCTGTTTCCATGGCAGTGCCTATTATTATTAGTTTTGAATTTGATTGAATATTTATATGTATAACAAATTTCGATGGGATAGATGGTTACCTCATGACTATTATAAAATGCTATTACTTAATTCTATTCTCTGCTCTCTTGACAGCTGTTTCCATGGCAGTGCCTATTATTATTAGTTTTGAATTTGATTGAATATTTATATGTATAACAAATTTCGATGGGATAGATGGTTACCTCATGACTATTATAAAATGCTATTACTTAATTCTATTCTCTGCTCTCTTGACAGAAGAAAATGTAAAATTTTATATTCTTCATCACCTCTTGTTCTTGTCAAAAGTATTTCTCAGGATTTCACAATAGTTTGATTGAAGGAAGAATAGGTGCAAACATTCAGAGTTCATATGCACTTTTTGGTACTCAAAATTTTAAAGTGTCTCTTATTTTTTCTTAATTGTTTAGTTCTTACATAGTACTTTGTAATTGTGACTGATGCCCTTTATTACAATTTGGGAAATGAAGCAAATCAATTTCTCAGCCAGTCAGAAGTATCAAAGTTGTTTATATGCATGCTAGGAGCAACTAACCAATTAACTAACTTTTCCCTCCAAAATTGCGTACCTTTGAAGTTCTATCCCATAGGTGGAGTATGAAGCTTGGAAATGAATAAGATGTATAGTAAAACATAGGTCCAAAAGTATGACCTTTTATAATTTTTTCATTTTGTTTTTCATTCATTGCTTTACAATATAATAAGTCCTACTTTGTATGTTTCTCTCCATGTAGTGTAGATTTTGAAACTTTTATTGGAATCTGCTTATAAACACTATTTAGATTTGAAGACATAATTTGCCTTGGATTTAGTCTGTAAACAAATGCTTGCTCAATAGGAGGCTGAAACTATGTTTGTAAAGTAATATACTGTTTGCAGGTCAATTTTCAAACTTTGGGGGACATAGTTTCATTGGCATCAGGGTTTATGGTACACTGGTGATACCTGAGAGCCTTAGATTTTGGCTCTGGACTCTAGGGTACATCATGCATTGGTATGGGAGGGTTGGTGGTGTATGGCTTGTAAGAAACTAAGAGTCAATTTAGTATAGACAATGAGAAGATTGATTGTCGCATATAGAAAAAAAGGTATATAAGGGAAAAGTAGAGAGAAATGATTTGAATAATGCGTAAATTCTTCTAATAGCACTTTGGACTCTGTATACCTCTGAAATTTTTATATCCAAAATTTTCTTCTGAAGTCTCTGAAATACTATCAGTTGAAATTCTGTTTTGTGGAAATAATATTGCTAGACTTTTCTCAGTTTTCTGTGATAGGAAAAAAATATTTATGATAGGGAAGAGAGACTGAAACAAGTACAATAATTGAAGTCAGCCGATAGATATCTTCCTAAAAGGGAATAGGAAAACCCAATAGCAAAACAATGGATACGAGCTGGTTAAGTAATACTAATTTAATCATAGGCTTCTTGCAACTTCATTACTATGTTATAATAAGCATTTACAAGAAGAAAAATTTAATATTGCCTCGAAATTTATAAGGAAAATAGTCACCCCTTGTCATACTTTCAGAAGTGGCATTTGTGATCTTGTAGAGTGGTGAAAACTTTGTACTGAAAACGGAGCTAGTTTTCTGTTTTCCATATGTATCTTGTTATTACATGTAAAGAATCTTCCACTCTTCAAGAGAAAAGGATACATGTTGATGTTGATATTATGAATCTTGGAAATCTTATCTGCAAATAGATGTCTAGATGATGGTGGTGGCTTTTATCATTAGTCAAAAGGATATTATATCATACGAAATTTGCTTACATGCTTTTCTGTTGTCATTTTTCTTTCATAACATTCTTTGCTTGCTTTTTCCTCCTTCATTTAATCATCATAAAAAATTTTGGGCTGGGTATCGAAGTGCTGATATCTTTGCTGAAGGAATTACTGACAAAGTTGATTTTTTACTATCTCTTGGTTGTGTTAAAATTTTTTTTATAGGTAATCAAGCCCATGAGAGCACCGATTTATATCTATTATCAGCTTGATAACTATTACCAGAACCACCGACGGTAAGGATTCTTTATTTTGCTCTTCATAAATACAACAGTTAAGTCTTTAAAATAAGTATTATTTTGACAAAGTGATTGATTAACTTCGCTTTTATACCTTTTTGTAGTTTCTCTTCCATATTTATATCCTTTTCTATTTGCTTGTGTTTTGGTCAATACACTGGTTATTTATATATCATTTCCCTGTTGTCTTAATGTTGGAAACAATTTATTCCAAGGTATTGCTTCTGTGACCATATTCAATTGAGAAAGCCTGAATGTATGCTCTGCCACGAGGCAAATTGTTTTTCTTGCCTCATCAAATCTTTCTGCTCTACTAGCTTTTTTTTTCTTAGGTTGTATTTGGACTTATTGACGTTTGCATATCAATCGGAAATTTGCATATCTATGCATTCTGTGAATAGGCACCATCAACATCTACTTTGAATGTCATTGAACCTGACCCACTATCAACATTTACCCTTTTTAGTTTTAATTTAGGTTCTCATCAACTCCATTCATTAAGGGAAAATGGAAAAAATATAATAAACATTTCATAGAAACTATAAAGTGTCTTATAAAAAATACCACTAAAAGTTTCTAGAAGGTGTTATAAAAAGAACCCAAGGGATTAATCAGACAAACTGTCATCCCCACCCATCACTAAATTTTAGAATTATTGCTGTGCATGTCATCGATTTGTCTTTGAATTTAATGTAGCGTATTTCTTTGTTCTTGCTTCATTCCTTTCCACCGAAAGTATGAGGGGCCATTTGGTTTGGGAAAATGTTTTCAAATTTATACTTCTAATTACAAAAGTACTACTTTGTTTCCTGTTTTCACTGTTTCCTATACAACTTTTGAATGTAGGAAACAAAGTAAATACTAAAAACAAGACAGCACTTTGTAAGTAAAAGTGAAAACAAAATTCACTTTTTCATGCCAAATGACCCCTAAAGTTATCAGATTTACTTTTAACTATGTGATTCTATTTTTGTACTCATTCAAATATCCAAAATTTGTTCAGATATGTCAAAAGTAGAAGTGACCGTCAGCTCTTACATGGACTTGGATACAACAGTACCAGTTCTTGTAAACCTTTAGAGTCCTCCCATGGTCTTCCAATTGTACCTTGTGGGTTGATAGCTTGGAGTTTGTTCAATGATACATACAAGTTTAGTCGCGGGCCATCTGATTTGAAGGTCAATAGGAAAAACATTGCGTGGAAGAGTGATCGCAATCAGAAATTTGGAAAGCATGTTTACCCATTTAATTTTCAGAATGGTACCTTGATTGGGGGTGGAAAGCTAGATCCAAGTATTCCTGTAAGTTCTAAGCTTTTGAATTGCTAATTCATTTTCCAATTTCCATTCTTCCTGCGATGATATCTCCATAATATCTCGATATTTGGATTTAAAATATCTTTGTTTATTTACCAACTCTGTGACATCTTTGCCTTTTATTCTTCAATTTGACAGAATTCCCCAATTTGCTAGGTTATATTCAACTACCAAATCTTATCTCAAGTGGGGTTAGAAACATGAGTTAGTCAATGCCATTATCGTAGATTGGATTTCAAATTTTCAATTTAAACTGTTCAATAAGCCAATAAGGTCTTTTATTGTTGGTTTTTCTGAATATTTCCTTTAGTCTTTCTTAAGAAACTTGGACATAATTCACTTTCAAAAGCTAATTCATAGGAGAAGGACTACCCTAGCCCTTATAAAGAGTATTATAGCTCTATTCCTAACCAATGTAAGACATCTTAATACACTTCCATTACGCTTAAGACTGGACATTTGGTGCATAAAATTTGCAGGATTGGACATTTGCATGGATAGACCCAACAAGACTGAACATATGTGGGCAGCTCCCAATATTCAAACTAAATAAGCTCTAATATCATGTTAAGATGAGAGAAAACAAGAAGGCATGAGAGAAATTTCGTGTGTCTCAACTGCACCACGAGATGTATATTTATATTGATAACGAGAATCTTAATTATAGCTACAAAATTAAAGACAAATATATGATTATCTAATTACTATAATTATATGGATACTATTTTCTTAAATAATATATTTAATAGAGACTATTTTTCTAAATAATATATTTACATATATTTAACAATCTTCTACCCATTTTGTTGGATTATCTTCCATTTGATCCACTTTTCTTAATGAAACTTTTATGTCTTCTTACATAATATAATCACTCCAGATAATTTTCCATCTTCTTCTTCTTAGTAGGTTCTACTTTAACTTTCTTTTGAATATATTTGTTCCTAATCTTGAGTTTCCTTGTATGTTCATTGTCCAGTCATCTACATCAGCATTCTCCTAATTTGGGCACTTATTGCCTAAAATTTTCTGCCAGAGTATTGCAGCTTATAGAATAATTTTACTTTGGGTTCAGCAGGCACTTTATGATAATTATTGCTGATAAAGCATTTCTCCATTTCATCCTTGTGGTTTGAATCTTATGTTAGACATCACAACCAAATTCTGTGTGATCACACCGTGGTTCAGGGAGGGTTAGATGTAAAGGGAGCCATACCACCATAAATGGAGTAGTTGATTCTGCAATTAGAATCAGTGACCAGAAGGGTAAATGGCAACAACCTTAACCCCAATCCTCACCTTTGGATTATTGGTTGACGTGTGAATAAAAATGAATCATTATTAGTAGCATTTAAGTGGGTCCACATGTGTATTCTCTTTATTTTTTCCTCTTTTCCTTTTGGCTTGAAATCAGTTGCACTAGCAGTGGGTGTACACACAAGCGAAATATTAATCTTCTGTAGCATTTGGTAGGTCAAACTGAAGTTGAAATTATGTTTTTGCATGGGAGCGTGGTGATACACATTCCTTGTTTCTATTCCTTTCCCCATTGAAATTTTCTTTATGAACTGATTTTGTTGATATATTTTCTCTGTCCTGATTCTAATGCTTTCTATTATGGCATTCTGCTTCTCTCTGTTGTCCATTCTTATTCCCATATTTCAGCTAAGTGATCAAGAAGATCTAATAGTTTGGATGCGGACTGCTGCTCTCCCCAGCTTCCGGAAGTTATATGGTAGAATTGAAGAGGATTTGGATGAAGATGATGTTATAGTTGTCCACCTAAAGAATAACTATAACACTTACAGTTTTGGTGGAAAGAAGAAGCTTGTTCTGTCAACATCAAGCTGGTTGGGTGGAAAAAATCACTTCCTTGGAGTTGCCAATTTATTTGTTGGTGCCTTTTGTATATTAATCTCCATCATCTTCTTGTTGCTTCATGTGAAAAATCCTAGGTAATGTGTCATAATTCCCTAATTGCTTTTTGATTATTTTGTGACGTGAGACTACTTTATCAGCAGTTACCTGGAGGATGCTTGACACTGCTAGTTTTAGCTTCTCTAGCACTTCAATTTACTACATAACCTTTCAGCTTATTTTTCATTCCCCCCTTTCCATTTCCGTTTCTGAATTGTTATTAAGAACTTGTACTATGAGTTTAAAGTTATCTACTGTCAAATAAAATCTTCTATACTATCAATTAAGAAGAAATTGTCACATAACAATAGTAATCATAGATTTTGACTTACAGTGGTGTCATGATTTACTGACTTCTATTCAGTGATTGTGAATCAAGATTAAATTTTTTTTCGGGGGGGAAGGGCGAGAGGTATTTTATTATATGAATGAATATATACTATTTATTGTAAAGCCGTGAGATTATATGGAACTGAACATGTGAAAACTCCTTACATAATAAAAAAAGAATGAAAATGAACTGATCATACCCATTAGGAATTTCCAATTATGGTAATTTGCTAAGAAAGCATGTTCTGGTCATTCTCCTATGCTATCTCTTGCATTTGATTCTCCCATATACATTTTGAACTGGTGGTGTTTACACGTTATGCTTATTTTTTTGGAGCAGACCTTACGGAGACATGGCCTACTCATCTTGGAATAGGAAAAACATTGCTAGCTGATAAGAGGGTACGGGTTACACCGGTAATACTTTTTCTTAAAGTGACTCAATACATATTAATGTTATAAGAAGTATTGTATTTAATTGTAAATGATGAAACAGAGTAACATCTCTGGGTTTAACTAATGGAAATGAGCTATTTGGAGTGGCTTTAAAGGAGCTTGAGTTTGCACGAGGTCATAGAAACCAGCCATTGTACACAAAATCTTTATTTTGAAATAGAAACAGGATGTGATCTTGTATTTTGTAGCAAAGTTTTACAGACAGAGTTTGCTAAAACATTTATTGAAGTCCATAGATGCATGGGTCGCTTTCAGATACAAATTTACATGTACTGTAGTCTGGTAAGTTCTCTGCTGCAGCTGCAGCATAAACTGGATAGGATCTGAAAATACATTTAGTTGAATGAACCTTTTGTTCAATAATTTTATTTTATTTTTGTGACATATTTTTTTTCAAAGAAGAATAAAAGATAATAATACAAGAAATGAAATAATTGTATAAATAAAAATTAGAATACTTTAAAGATATATTTATAATATAAATAGATCATACTAAAAAAAAAACTTTTTATATTCCTAACATCATGTTTTTAACACAAACAACAAAAATAATTTTGAATTTAAATACAGTGAAGGGTAATTTATTCTACAATAGATCAACTGTATATATACTCATATCTAAATAATAAATATATTATTTTTTAGTAATATCTAATTAATAAAAAATTTAAATTAAGATATAATAATATTATGATAATAAAATATAATTTAGAAATTAAATTAATAAAGTAATTTTCAAATTTTTATTTATATAAATATATGTTGTATGATGATTTATAAACAAAGAACTATAATTATATATTTTTAATTATAATATTATTATATTTGAGAATTATATATTTAATTTTATTAATTTGATATTATTAAAATTAGCGTATTTATCATTTAGATTTGGGTATGGATACGTTATTGATTTTTTTGTAATGTGACATTTTCTCGTTGATTATTATTCTATTATAGAATAGATTGACGTTTCACTGTATTTAAACTCAATGTTTTTTATGTACATAAAAAGATTTAGAACATTATAAGAAAAATAGCTGGACAAAATTGATTTTATAGACAAATTGAATACTTTATCCCCAAATAACATTCTAAGATGCAAACGATTTTTAAAATTAAAAGTAGGAAACAGAGAACAATAAATTATAAAGAAAAATAAGAGACAGTAAAATAGAGAAAAAATAGGAAAAAATATAAAAAGAAAATTGGTAACCTTTTTTTTTTTTTTTTTGTAGCAAACCATAATTCTCTACAATCCTACGGTACAAGAAATCAGAACATGAAAAATAGAGATAAGTTTACTAATGGATCTATGAAAATTGAAAAAATAAATAAAAATTCACACAAACCATTAACAACGAAAGAAAAATATCTAACAAAGCAATAGTTATTTTTCCAAATTCCCATTCTTAAAAAGGAGAAAGATAATTATCAAAAAGAAAGAATGAATGAACCAGTTAAATTAGAAATGTAAAACATTAAAAAGACAAAAATATAAGGTAAATTGGTCGCCTTTAATGTTGCAAATCACCTTTTTTCTATACAAATCATATATAAGCCACGTTGTTAAATTATAAAATTGTAGAAAATTCTGGCAATTTTAGCAAGTTGAGACATCTAAGAATAATAATCATTGTCCATATTAATTCGTGAACAAATGAAAGGTAATCATGATTGTAGATTGATTGTGATCGACACGACAACCTTAATGTTTATCTGAGAAAATACCAGAGATGGAGCACCAATGGTCAACAGTGATATAGCTGAGTAGATGGCGTGAAGGGCATCCCATATGATTGAGAAACTTGGAGATTGACACTCCTGTCATTCTTCTTTGTAGTTGATTGTGAAGACTATGCTGCTAAAACTTTTACCCGACCATAGTTGCAAGGCTTGGTAAACAGATATTTTCTATTCATGTTATGTTTTTTGTTGATGCTTCTAGTCAAATGAATCAACAGACTATAAACATAGCTATTCTCCCTTGAATAAGTGATTTCACTAATGAAGGTGTTTATTCCTCTACATCTTAGGTTCCTAAGACTTAATGGTATAATTCACTTGAGCATAGTAAAAGCATAAAATTATTAAGAAAAAGTTGTAAATGAGAATCTAGAAATGAAAGCAGTAAAGACATTTAAATGGTGAAAAATACAGAGAATCTACCATGTCAAGGTTGAAAAAAGAAAAAGGAAGTGGAAACTAGGCTTGTGTATTTGATTTATGTGTGAGAGACATATTTTACTGGTTACAGTTAACTGAATATTTATAAGCCTATAATACAAGTTATTAATCCCACTAAACTAGTCCGGCACATCCTAAAACCCTTATACTCATATTAATTATAAGTGTAGAATCATATTCAATATTAATGTGAATAATTGCTCGTCAGATGAGTTATGATTAAAATCACAATAGACAATTAATTAAGTTGCTACTTGAATTTCAGCTATATTTTTATATGAAAATTATTTATTTTGACAAATTATATGAAAAATTATAAGTTATAAAAGAGTCATTAATTATTTATAAGATCTTTTAAACAAACTCTAATTAAATGTTTATTTAATAAAATATTCTTTTGAATAAGGGCTTATGACATTATTTCAATAAGATAAAAAGAACTTAAGGGAGTCAAGTTATTTTCATAAGTTCTCCAAAATGCTTAATTTAAATAAATTTTTAATAAATATTTATAGAAGTTAAAAAAATAGGTAATTTTTTCATAAGTTAAAATTAACTTATTTATATATTTATATTATTTTATTTAACTTTTTTAGATCTTGATAATTTATTTTAATTGAAAGGAGAAAATTTATTTATTATTTATATTGAAAAAATTATCTTATAAATACTTATCTAAAAACTTATCAAACACTATCAAATACAACATAAAATAAGTGAAAAAATATTTAATCAATAAGATTCAAAATACTTTAGGAATGTCAAGATTACTTCCTAAAATTAGTAAGAAATTAAGCCATGTGTAAAAGAGTAGTAATTATTGATAGATAAATTCTAAGGTGCCATTACTATTTGACGTAAGGATGAAATAATAGAACTAATTGGTCATTAGTCATCTTCTCCCAACATCTAAGTGCATGAAATGAAAAAGATAATCCTTTGGTTGATATATCAATTTATGCAAAGAAAAAGAAAATGCTGATCATGAGCTTCAACCACATGCACAAACGCATCTGCATTAAGTTCACAATTTGATCATATACCAAATTTATTGGATTGAAAACTTTTTTATTCCTTTCCAATCGTAAAGACCATATAATAACAAATACTAAGGAAACCAAACAAACTGCAAGAAATGTTGTCCAGTAATATTTGTTATAATAGAATTGTAACCAAACCATTTTAAAATGTTATTCCAAACCATATCAACTCTTGGACATTAAAAAGGAAATTGTCGTGCATAATCTCCCTTGATTTTGTAATAAATCGATGTCACAAAAATTGTCCATTTATCTCTCTACAGTCAAAACTCAAGTATATTTTACATGTTTGAGCAAGTTCACATCATGTCTTCTTCTCCTCCCTGAAATATATTTAATGCCAGAACCACACACCATCTTTGCATCTCTCCACCTCCTAAAACAACATCTTTAAAAGTTGCTATATTATTATAATATATCAAGATAACTTATTTGTTCATTTTATCATTTTAAAAAATATTTATGATTTCAGTAATAAGAAAATATTTCTCTCTTCATCTTTTATGACAACAATAATATTTACATTTATTTATTCTTCAAAAAGTTTCTTTTTTACATCTAATTTTATTAATATCACTTGATTTTTATTTAATACCATTAAAATATTTTTTATTTCTTAATTTTTTAACATAAATTTATTATGATTTATTAATTTTATAATCTTATTTTTCTTTGATTTTAATTTGTTTTTATCATAGTATCACGTTATTATTATTTTATAACCTTTCAGTTTATTTCATAGTGATATGATATTGATTTACTATTATTATAATTTTATAATACAACAATATTATTTTATATCTATTTTTTGTTCTTATATATTAATATAAAATATAATATGTTGATTTAGATAGTATAATATTATTTTGAACAGGAAAATAATTTTTTATCACAATTTTTAATGTTATTGATTTTCTATTATTTGAAAATAAAATAATTTTTTAATAAAAATATTATTCATAAAAAATTTAAATTATATGGAAATAATCCAAGAGTTAATTTTATGTAATTGACTAACTAATCTTGATGATTTTTTATTAATATTAAAAAAATAAAAATAAAATAAAACTCTAGATCGTAAGTGTGGAAAGATATTTTATGTGTTTGTTTTTTATTCATTCAAACATTCAAACCTCATAAAATAAAATAAAAAACGTAGTGATCACCATATTTACTTGCATTTTGTCAAAAAAGAAGAAGAAAAAGCAACCATCTAGAATGTTACAACCAAAACTGAATATTCGTGGAAGACATATTCAAATAGTTGTTTTTTAAGGATTAATAATATATGCCATTGAAAATTTAGTGCACCCACCCTATAATGTTGGATCTCCCTTTGTTAAGTCCTCTTTTTCAGGGTTCAAACCAAATTTAGATTCTTTGCAACCCTATAAAACTCGTGTTTCGTGTTCTATTCTTCAATCAACCTTCAATATCATTTATCATTCTTCATTGATCTTCCAACATCCACTACAACCCTTCTTTAACATAGCCTTATATTTTGTTAAGTTTCAATCATAAATGGTGAGTACAGTGAAATCCATTCACAAGTGGGGTGAGGTCGCACCAACTCTCCTAACATCACAGTATAAGAGATCATCACGTTTTTCCAAGTTAGAACCCATCATTGAAGAGGAACCACAAGAGTCTCAAATATTGCATAAGGGTGTATTTGTTTCTATGCCTCTTTTACTTTCTGGCTTTCTATACATTTTCTTGTATAGAGGATTATTAATATGAAAATGTTTTGCTTTCCCAATGTTATATAGGAATTACAAT